GCAGGGACTCTGCTCCCCGTCCATCCATCCAGCTCTGGACAGCTTGGCCTGGACATCCAGTCTCCTGACTCCACACAGAGAACCGCCCTATTCTTTCCTTACCTCTGAATAAAGGTGCCTCCATCTACCTGAACCAGAAATGGCCTGTGTCATTCCTGATTCTGTCCCCACCACGCATGCCTAACGGCTCACATGTGGTCTTGCCAGTCAGATCCCTTAGGAGGCCCCCCGCTGCTTATGGGGACACCCAAATCCCTTGTGCTTGGCACAGCAGCCTCCAGTCTATCCTCTGTGAAGCTGCCTGTCTTTGTTTTAAATACGAAAAATAGTCCATCTCATTTGCCCACTCACCACTGACCATTCCCGGCAGACAGAGCAGCTTCTTAGCCCTGTCCACAGACCAGCTGGGTCCTGGCTAGTCCCTCTTCTGCCACCCCTTGCCTTCCTGTTGCCCGAGTGGCCACCCTGCTTCTTGCCTTGGCATATGTTTGGACATGCTATTCGTGCTATTTAGAACATCTCCCGGGGACACCTCCCCCAGCAGCCCTCCAGGGTACCCCCTACCAAAGCAACCCCTCAGGACACCCTCCTCATAGGACACTCTTCCCAGGGACACCCTGTTGGGACATCCTTTTAAGATACCTCCCCTTGGACACCCCTCTAGGACACCCTCCCAGGACACTGTCCCCCAACCTGGCTGATGGCAATTGCCCCCCACGGTCTTTCGTGTTCCTACTCAGGCCTGTTGAAACCTGCATCAGCCGAGGTCAGGGCTCTGCAGAGATCTCTCTGGGGCCAGGTCGCCACTTGGATGCCAGGCTGGAGTCTTCCGCAGGCGACCCAGTCCTGTGCACACCGCCGCCTTCACCCCTACCACACAGGGCCCTGCGCCGGCCCTCAAGCCCACCAGGCTTCCCCCGAGCAGACTCAGTGTTCGAGCCTATGCCCCCGTCACGTCTTGTTCAGTCTTCCTCACCCGACTATACTGAAAACTGCCCCCAGCACCTCCTGACCTCACCTGTGGGGCACTGATGCGTACTCCCTAACTTTGTTCTGGTCTCAGCCCCCGTCCTGCTAGCACACAGGCCCATGGGGCAGGGGACGGCATCCTCGGCACGATCCCCAACACCCACGGCGTGCCATAACACTGAAGACACTTGGAAAGTATCTGCTGAGGGTAGGGCCTTGTCCTGCCTGTCGAGAAGGAGAAGGCACTGACCAGCTTCTCCAGTCCTGCCATTGGTGGATTCTAGCCCTCGAGGCTGCAGGGAAGACCTACCCACCAGACGTCTGGCTGCCCACAGGCTAATCTCAGAGATCGGCACATGGCAAATCTCAGTGTCTCGTTCTTTCACTCGTGGACAAGGAAATGGGGGAACAATTTTGCCACCACTCCAGGGCAATGACAGGGAACAGGCCATTTCTGATCAAGCTTCATGCCCAGCAAGCCCTGGGAGGGAGCCGTGGCAGCGACCCTGAGCCTGGCCCCAAGCCAGGCCCCCGGCAGTGACAAGCAGCAGGTGAAAACAAGCATGTCCCGTCAGACACAGGACTCCATGGGAGGGACACATAGAAGGAGACACAAAAGCCAAAGCCATGGGACCACCATCTGGCTGCCTTAGTTTCCAAAGCAGAGCTCTTCCCATCCAGCCCCTCCTCCATTCCTCTCCTGTTCTGGTGCCTGAGAAAGGGCCTGCATCTTCAGAAGCCCCGGGATCTTTCTAGGGGATCACTGAGTCCTCTGGATGGGGTTCCCCCACCAGCCAGGACTTTGTCTTCAGGGGATGGGGACCTACATCCCCTTGTGTTCTTCTGGGGACAGTGAAGCTCCTCCCGAAGGGCTCAAGACCCCCTTTGCATAACAAAAATCCAATGTCAGCCATTCCCTGTGTAGAAACCAAGCCAGTTGGGAACACAGTCTGTTATGCACTCAGCCCCGATAAGGCACGAGGTGTAGGATGAGGGAGGAGAATGGTCGTCTATAACACGACGTGTATTTCTGGAAGACCCTCTTCAGAGGCAGAGGCGGCAGTGGGCCAGAAAAAAGGGCGTCACACTGGCTTGTCACTGCCACCCAAGCACCTGCTTCTCCACTGGGGAGCGGGGACTGGACCACACTCACACCTGCCTCTCTGCCTAGCCCTGTGTCCGGCACGTAGTAGGTGCTCAGTAAACGTCTGGGGTTGAGATGGATGTGTGAGCGAAGGGTGAACGCAGTCCCGGATGAGATGCGCTGATGGGGTCTCAAATGGGGTGAGCCGTGTCTCCGCTCCATCGGCCCACGGAGGCCCCAGGGGGAGGTGTGTGGGGGGGGTGCGCGGTGCTCGCTCCCGTTGGCGTCTCTGCCTCGCTCAGCTCCCTGCATGCTTCTCCGGGGGCAGGGGCCGCTCTGATCGTCTCGGCGCCCCACTCAGCGTCTGGCACAGAGTGGGGGCTCAGTAAATACCCGTTGAATGTAGCGCATCTCAACTCAACAAACATTTACTGAGCGTCCACTGTGTTGAGAGTCGCAGTCCTACCTTCCTGGGGCGCGCGACAGATGGGTGGCCCCGGGGATGCGGGTGCGGGCGTGCCTTGCCGCGTGCAAGCGCCCTGCTCAGTGACGCTTTTTTCCAAATGGAACTGGTGTCCCTGGGCTCACTAGAGGGGAGGGAGCCCTGAGGAAAGAGGAGAGAGGGTATGCAGCCCCCCGTTGGGGAATGCTGCTGTCCTTCCCACCCCAAGTTCTCAGCAGGCGAGCACATGGCAAGGCACGCATGATGGAGGCAGGACCAGCAGCCCGCGTGTCGGCTGCTGCTCCCATGCCCATCGGGAAAGCAGGCAAGGTCTTCAGGGCAGAGGTGAAGGCATGGCTGCAGCGATATGTGGTGGGTTCCCCGCCCAGCGGAACTGGCATCGGAACGCCTTGGAGAGTGGAGAACAGTGCTGTCATAATTGCCCTAAGCAAGTGTCCGTGAAGGGGAAGGCCATGCACACGCACACACGTGCATGATTTGTACTGTGGAGGGGTCTCCCCGGTTAGAGCGTGGATTTTAGCACAGGCAAGGTGCTTCCTGCCAGCCCGGTGTGCCCTGGGTGAGAAGCACTGGGACCCCAACCGTGGCTGCTGTGCTGCCAGTGACAGGGGAATGACAGTGAGGGCAAGGGGACGGAGCTGAAGCAAGACCTTGCAGGTGTGTGACTGGTCTGTCAAAACGGTGTGTGCACAGCCTGGGGGCCTCGTGGGGGGTCTCCCACCTACAGGGCTCCTGGGATGACCTGGGGGCCCCTGATCCCAGCACTTGCGGGAGAGGAGACTGTGCATGGGGACAGGGCAGGTCAGCAGCATGGGGAGAGGGGGCGGCCAGGCTCTCATCACGTGGTAGCTCCCTCCTGCAGACGGGCTGTGGACATGAGTGGGGATCCCTGGGTCAGTGTGAGGTGGGAGTCTGAGCATCACCCCACAAGGGGAGGACGGGAAGCCATAAAAGTCCACCCTGAGGTCCCCAGACACTCACTTCCTGAGAGCTCCTGGGCCTCATGGGTAACAGGATGACACCCCAGGTGCAGGGGGCTGTGCAGGTGCTGGGGGGCTGGCACAACAGGAGCCCACCACCTTCCAAAGCCACTGCCATCGGGAAAGAGACCATGGAGCAGCAAGGCCCACGATCAAGTCCTGTATTACCCAGGGTCTTGGGTGCCTGGGAGCAGAGAAGATCCCAGGGCCGTATGGCCGCTGCTGGGCTGGCCCGCGCTGTGACCTGCCTGCAGGTAGGACGGGCAGTCTGTCGTGTCCCCCGCCACACACCTGCCCTGGCAGGACATGCTCGCCACAACCTTGGGCGAGTCGCTCTGGGGGACTGCTCTGACGTGGCCTTCCTGGGGTGGCACCCACCCGGACACCGGCCCGGAGAGCCCCCATCTAGAGCACCGCACCCTTAGAGGGGCCAGAGGCATGGGGCTCCCGATGTCTGCTCGCAAAGATCACACAAAACAAGGCACCTTCGTTTGGCTTCGAGCTCTTCTTCAACAAATGGCAGCGCCCGGGCCGCCCTTCCCTCTTCCCATAGAACACTTGCGTGTGTAAGACAGATCACGCTTTGGAGTCACGAGGATAGGAATGGCAATGACAGCCTGTTTGCTGAGCATCTACTATGGGCCGGGCAGAGCGCCCACACGTGTCACCTCCTCTGGTCTCTACTGACCTGGCCAGGCAGACAGGTGGGACGGAGGTCCACCGGTGGGTCACAGCCCAGGGTCCCACGGCCCGTCAGGGGTGAGCCCAGATCCGCGCTCGGGCCCATCTCACAGCCATGTCAGCCCCCGTGCTCTGCCTCCTCACACCCGCATCCGCCCTCCGTGTCCCAGCTCAGCCTCACGCGTGCCCAAAGGAAACCACCCGCTGGGACCCAGACACGCCGTCCAGATCTCCTTAGGGCATCACACCGCAGCCAGCTGTACCCTTCACCTCCAGCATACAATTCTAGGACCCTATGTAAAGCGTAGCCGTCCATCTGAAAACCCCTCCTCATTTAGCCCTCCCAACCCCCAGAGTCCGGCAGCGGTCACATGTCCCGTACTCCCTGCAGACAGGGTGTCCCCATTCCCCAGTGCTTTGTTCAGGCTGAGTGCCGGGAGGCTGTGCCTGTTGTCGACTCCCAGTCTGGACTCACCCGCCTAGACCATGCTTACATCTGCTCTGGAGGGAAACGGGCCCCCACTTTCCAGCCCGGCAGCCTGGGATGCCTCCTTTGCAATAGACCCCAGGAGCCCCATTCAGCTTTCTGGGCTGTCTCCAGCTCTGGAGTGTTCCAGGAGACCTGCCCATGGGCGACATGTGAGCTAACCATGTCGAGGGGGACCTCACGCAGAAAGGGAGTCTGCTCTCCTACCTGGTTTGCTCCTTAGCTTTCTTAACGATCAAGGCTCAGGTCTGGGGGATGGGTGCCAACCTGTGGGGCCCCTTGCTGCGAGGCCTCTCATGCCCCCGTGACAGCTCCTTGCTCAGAAGAACCACTCACGTGAGTAAAAGTTGTCCCCTTGCGTTGTCGGGAGAGGGTCTCTATCGGTCCCGCTACTGTGGGACAAAGACTGGCTGTGAAGGTCTGAAGAGTTAGTCGTAGTGTCCGCATCCCCCTTGAGAATCAGCCAGCTGGTCTTCTGCGGACGGAGGAAAAAGCCACGTGAATGCTGAGGCCATCGGCAGTGGGACTGACCCCGTTACAGACAAGGAAATGGGGTCAGGGAGCTCAGGGACCCAAAGGGCTTCTCCTGGGGGCACGTGGGGGAGCCACACACACCTCCCTCCCTTTAAGACAAGACAGGGGCCCTTGCCCTCCCTGGAGCCAGGATGGGGAGACTCTGGGGCCAAACCCCGCCCACAGAGGTACACCCATGCCTCTGCCCTGCCTCCAGCTGCTTTCCCAGCAGGGCCTCCCAGCCCCAGGGCCTCACTCTTGACCTTCGGACCCTTTACTGGGAAACTCTGTCCAGCCTGTTCTCAAGCCAGCACCCCAGATGCCCCCGGAATGCCCTTGGATTAATTCTCCTTTCTTTTCAGACATGCCTCCGTGATAGAGCCAGAACTGGGTTACAGGGGCGTGGAAGGAGGACAGTGGGGGGGGGGGGGCGGGGGGGGGGGGGTACCTCTGAAATCTGGTCCCTGCTGTGTGGGGGCCCCGTGGGGCCCCTCCAGAGCAGAATGAAAGCTGGGGAGCCTGAACTTTCAGCTGGGGAAAGGCAAGGCTGTGTTCCACCAGACTTGCCCCCCAATTTACCTTCCTGTTATCCTGATCAAAGATTCCATCCTCGCCATCCGGTCGCCTGGCGGCTGGAAGGGAAGAGGAGGCCCGTTAAGGAGACACACCAGCTCCCTGGGCATTGCCCGCCACGGTTCCCGCTTCCCATCGTGCTCAGAAACAGAAAGGAATCAAGCCAAGGTCAACAGGACAAGAGCTTTTGCAGGGCCAGGGAGCAGGACGCGCCAGGGAAGCATCCCACGGGAGCCCCGCAGGCGGTGGCCATGCACCCTCTCTCAGGACGGGTCTTCAAACCGAGAGCAGGTGTGCGAAGTGACGCAGTCATAAAACGCCAGCCCCCCCCCCAATCCCCCCGCCCCGAGATCACACCATGTGTTTAGGAGCTTGGGATTTTTAAGAACATATACTCTACTCTCCTAGTCGAACTCCAAAGGATCAGGCGGGCTTGGTCCCCAGTGCCCTCTGGGTCCGGCTCAGCTGGGCGCAGCCCCGATCCCCACACCACCCCGTTCTCAGATTGGGAGACTGAGGCTCAGAGACATGACAGGCCTTGCTGAAGGCCATGCACGGGGGGCTGGCAGAGGCTGACCTGTGAACCCAGGTGCTCTGTCTCCAATGTGCCCCTGTTTGCCCCCCTCACTGCCTGCTGCCCACATAACAGAAAGGTCAGTGAGCTCTGCCACTGAGAAAGTCCATGAAGAGACAGAAAGGAGGTATGATCCACAGCCAGAGGTGACCTCAGGGACTGGAAGGAGCGAAAGCTCACTTTGTCACGCTATGCCCCCCAAGAACGCTGTCTGGGGCCGAGAAGTCCACCTTTTATAGTCTCCACTGGCATACTTTTTGGTGGCGGGGGTGGGGTGGTCACCCCGAGGGGCTGACGTTATCCCCAAGCCAGTACGATCAAGCCCATCACACAAGGGCATATGATGGCGCTCAGCGCCCATGTGAGGACTTCCCGTAAGAAGCCATGGACCCCATGCATGGAACAATGGAAGGAAGATCCCAGGCCCCTTCCCCACCCGCCACGGAGACTGAGGCCACGGTAAGGACATGCCAGGGGTGGGCTTCTTACCTGCAGCCTGCGGAGGGCTTGGACCTTCGAGCCTTTTGGAACACCCTGCCTTGTGCACCACCAAGGACAAGACTGACATCAGGCCCGAGAGCTTGGAAATTGGGGATTGGGCTACAGGACCTTGACAAGATAAGGTCACAGTTGAAGAGCGTTCTGGATACATGGACATTTTGTTACTCCCGATGGCTGTTTCTCCTTCTTCCAGGAGAGCCCATGATTTCTCCAGTGCAAAAATAAAAACCCTGCTCTCTCCATGGGCAGAGGCAGAATTACAGGGGGCCTGCGCAAGGGGTGTCGTGATGGACAGAGGCACGGGCAGGACGGATGCATGCCCACTGCCCAAGGCTCACCTGTCGCACAGACAATGGTGGTCGCCAGGCAGCAGAGCCCTGAGCATCTGGCTCTACGTTCACTGTGACCCTAGGCGACTGCCCAGCAAGCTCTGGGGATGATCAGGCCAGCGGGGACTTGGAGCTGCAGAGCACAGCCACTGTCCAACCCAGAGGAGCCTCTCAGGCTCGGAGTGCTGGTGGGAGTCAGTGGGTGCACCCCTGAGGAGCCCTCAGTGGCCCCCAAATGGACCACTACAGTGGAGCTAATTTACAAATATGAAGACAACAAAGGGCTCTTTGGAATATGAAATCCCAGCCCTCTGGGTCACAAGGCCCAGAGGCCACCTTAGGTTCGAGCACTTCACACAGCTGTGGGTGACCAGTTGGGTCAGACACTTACGGTGGCAGAGAGACCTCGGGGCTCAAAAAATGGCCCCCACCCCACCTGATGAGGAAGCTATCCCACCAGGATTGAGCATGTTTCTTCTGCAAATGTTTTTCCCCCAATCACCAAGGGCTCTCCAAATGCCAAACATGCCAGCCCATGGCACACGTGACAGATGCCCAGACGTGGGAGCAGGGGCAGGAAAATACAGGCATTCGGCACTTGGTATTATTTGCAGCCTGCCTCCTGAACAGCTCTGAGCCTCAGTTTCCTGATCTGTAAAATGGGCAAATGACGCCCACCACCCGACCCCACTCTGAGTTGCGAGGCTCCCGCGGGGTAATGCCTGTAGATGCTGTAACACACTGGAGGACCCAGGTCTGAAAAACGAGGAATGAACAGAGAATAGCCTTGAGGCGAGCTGGCAGCCTGGCATTTCAGAGAGTTGAGAGAAGACAGATCGATTTACGACGACCCAGGAAACTGGCCTGAGTATGTCTGTTCCAGCAAACAAGGCTGTGCCTCTGAGCCTGGAATGTGTTTGCCACGAGGAGCCCTTCAGGGAGACCCCTGGGGGACCTCTTTTGGGGGAGTCCCCAGGAGACTGCCTGGCCTCTGATGTTCTTTCTGGACCCACAACCCACTTGCCTTCCCCTTTCCTCCCGTCCCAAGACAGGACCCAAAACCAAGATGAGACTATACCCCGCCACGGAGGAATCCCAGAGAGTCCGGTGAGAGGTGGTTGCTTCCCGTCTTACATGAGGGAGCACGTACTGATGAATTTGCACGGGAGGACGGAGAGCGCACCCCTACACTAGAAGGCAGATGCAGGTGCAGGGCTGAGCTGCCCTCTACGGTCTCCAGGGCCTTGGCATCCACTGACACGGCTGTTGCTGCTAAGCTGCCTTTTGCTTACCAATGACACAGCATTAGCCCTGTCCCTGCAACCGGACACAGCTTTCTGGCTGGTATGGGGGGAGGGGCTCTGGTTTTCCCTGGAATCCCTTTTGAGCAGTCTGAACCTAGCATAGCATCCCTCTCTTGAGGGGACCTACTACTGGCATGTTCCTGCTCTGCGCTCCCACATCAGTGGGGCCTCCGCCAACTCTGACAAAACCTGACGGCAAGGCAGCCTCGAACCCACTCTCAGGGAGGAGACGGGGAGCGGCCGTGGCGGGAGCCGCACCTGCTACACCAACGTCAGGGGGCCCTCACCGTGAGCGCCTGCAGACAGCTCGGAATCACCACCATACCCCAGTTCCATGTGCACTCTGCGTCCCGCCGCTCCCTGCCTATCCCATGTCTGCCCCTGACTATGCAGGAAAGGGCGCTTCCGCTCCTGTCCTCTCCTGCCCCTCACCATTTTCAATTTTCTATTCACTTCCTCTTGCTTCCTTTATTCCTTTTTTTTCTTACTACTTTTTCAAAAAGGCATTAAATCATAAATAAGCAGACTGGAACTAATATAGTACAAGGCATACTGTTGGGCCCTAAATGCTGTACAGTGAGAGCAGAAGGTCAGGGGCTGGGGGTCGGGTGGACGAGCCCCAGTGGAGCCCAGAGCGGCCACTTCTCAGGCCCAGCCTTGGGCTCCTCATCCGCAGGGGTACCGAACCCAGAGCGGGCTGGCAGGGGACATGCTGGCAGCTGTCGAGCGCCTGCACAGAATAGGGGTGTCCTTGCAGCAGCTGCTCAGGTGAGGACCCCCTTGTCCTCCACACCAGTGCCCCACCACGAGGCCGGGCCACGTCACCGCTGGAGCTCATGTCCCCAGCACAGGAACGGGATGCAGGCACCAGAAAAGAGTGATGCCGATTAAGAACTGTGTGTGAGTTGGAGAAGGGGCTTTGGAAAATAAATGAATTAATTAGATACTATGCTTTTTAAACGGGTTGGACATATTATCTTCAATTAGTTAATGGTTCAGTGATGCGACATCTTCACCCACACGATCTCGAGACAGGTGGACATCAGCGTAAACGTTTCTGGAGTCCCTCCCCGAGAGACAACAGGGTGGTGACTTTGCTGTGTGTGTGTGTGTGCGCACAAGCACATGCATGCTCACACACATGCTCACCCTCACACACATGCTCACACACGCACGCACACAATGCTCACACGTGCTTACACGCACCCACACATGCTCACACGCGTGCTCACACACATGCTCAGAAACACATGCTCACACACTCATGCACATGCACATGTGCTCACACACATGCTCACAAGCATGCTCCCCCCACCCATGCTCTCACACAGACTCACACTCACACATGCATGATCTCATACACATGCGTTATCTCACACGCATACACATGATCTCACATGCTCACATACACGATTTCATACACGCTCACACTCATGCATGTTCTCACACAGTGCGCACACATGATCTTATACACACACTTACACATGCACGATCTCACAACACACACATGCTTGCACATGCATGCTCACACGTGCGTGTGCACACACATACACACTTCTGACAGGATGTGTTCTGCCTGGAATGGGGGAAATCTTGTAAAATCAAAACATCTCAAATATATCAGGGGACAGAGACATCCTAACACAAACGTTATTTCTGGAACGTTCCCTGAGGACACCCGGGATTGGACAGTACACACACGTGCCGAGCCCGTGGCACAGCCCATTCCCATTCCTGATGGGACGGGTTGTGGTCGCGTTTACCCCCCGGGATGTGGCCGGATGCTGGGTGGAGAGCTGGCCCTCTGGAAAGTATATTTGCTAAAAGAATCAGGACACCGGATTTCTGAAATGATAAATGGGCTTGGGTTGTTGCTCAGCATTCAGTCATGCAGGAATTCCCTTGCCTTTGGATGGGACAGGCCTCCGTATCCAGGTTAAAAGAACAACACAAGGATCCACGCTGATAACGTAAAATAAAATGTCTCTCCAGGGGACGATTTAGTTAGTCAAAGAACTTGGGGCTGGAAGCTCGTTGTCTTAGAGCTGGCCAGTTCGGAGGCTGTCGAGCAATTTCATGATCTGATTTACTGCTTCCTCTGCTTCCTGAGAGGATGGCCCCTCCTATACAACATGTGTGAATTCTATGAGGTTAATAGAAGGCCAAGTCAGCCAACGCCACTATGACAAGCACAGGACACACACCTTCCCACGCAGGTATGAACACGGCCACCATGATGGTAAGACAGCCTTCAATGCGGCTGCTCCTTCCTTCAGCTGGGCCTCGGTCTCCCCACTTGTCACAACAAGGGGCCAGTCTGGACAACCTCTAAGGGCCCTAGGGTCTCACCAGCCCACCCCTCTCTGATCCCTCCAGAACATCTGAGCTCCAAGCTTCCCCAGGTGAGCAGGAATGGTAAAGGTCACTGCCTTCTGGGAACCCAAGAGTTTAATCCATTCCTTTCTTTCCTGGGATGAGGAAGAAATGCACAAGGCACAGGGCCTACTGCCCTCAAGGAAAAACCAGAAATCCTATTTGTATAATCAGACAACTGATGGATCAGTAAGTCACAGAAAGCATGCTTTTATAGGATTGCACGTAATAGTGGTGCAGTTGTGGACGGGGGACTTGGCTGTTTTCTTTTAAATACAGGAATCCCTCTTCCCATGCCCCCATCATATGCACAGCACTTCACAGATTAGAGCCTATTTCCACGTTCATTATTTCATTTGGTCCATAACCAGCCTGTGAAGAGGGCAGGGTAGATGGGTTGGTCCCATTTTGCAGAAAAGGAATCAGAGGCTCAGGATGATGAAGCCCCATGCCCCAAATCACCCAGAAATTCCATTAAGAAACAGAGGGAGACCCGGATCCTTCTGGCTCCTGCTCCACAGTTCCAGCCACCTGCCACCCGAGCCCCTGTCCCAGGATGATAGGGCTAAGCGGAGGTGGGCAGTCACCTTGGAGAGGGAAACCAGGGGCTGAGATATCCCCTCACCGCCAGACCTGTCCAGCCCATACCTGCTGATGCGACAAAACTCTCTGACTGCTGGCTCGCTATTCACTCCCTCCTGAGAAAGTCCTAAAACCCGGGAATGAATGACTACACCTGGCTTGTTCTGTTTTCCAAAATCCTAGCTGGGTTGCGTTGGGGTCCAGGAAGCCTTGTCCCCCAGCACCTCGGCTGATGTCAGCCTGGCTGCCTCCCTCCAAGGGGCATTACGGAAACCCTGGGAACCTGCTGTCGCTGAGGAACTCCCACCCCAAGCCCGCGGCCGTGTGCTCGCCTCGGCTTCAGAGCACATGGAACGGTCCAGACTCAGAGTTGCCCGCTGCGGTCTCTGACGCAGAGGCTCCAGGGAGCCCACTTGCCAACCTGTCCTTCCTACTCAGGCTACCCGCGGTGCCTCCCCATCCCCGCTCAGAACACAGAGAAAGGAAGCATCCAGAAGCAAAGGGGTGGCAAAAGGCATGCAGGGAACACAGCAGCAGAGGAAATCCGACTGTACCATGCTGTTTGTAGATAGGGGGTTTCCTATAGATGTTATCTTTTACGCCAGTGTCTGGGAAAGAAGAGAGAGAAGAGGAGAAGAGCGGGGTGAGCGAGCACACTGGTTTCCATTCCGCTGCTTCTCCAAAGCAGCCGTCAGCCACCAGATTCCACACGGCCAGAGAGGCTCACAGGGACTGACTGACTCCTGGGACCCACACCTCAGACCAAGCGTGCCCCAGCCCCAGCCGAAAGCCAGAACCTAATTCAAGGGGAGCGGGGAGGGAAGCGGCTGGAGCGGGCAGCCGGTCAGACAGAGCCTTCTCTGCAGCACATTCCCAGGAGGGCCAAAGTGGCTCCCTGGTGTTTGTGTGGCTTTGGGGTAAACTCCAACACACGCCAGTGGGGGGACGTGCAAACCCTCAGAATTGGGGGAGGGGGTGGTCGACAGTGTTGGGAGTCATAGCAATTCTGTACAATCGGGTGCTCTGCGTGGCAAGCCCAACCACGCATGCTGGGTACCTACCTGGGACGTGGAAATGGCGAGGCGCCTGCTGGTAGGTGCAGGGGGGAGGCTTGCTGTCTGAGAGCACCGAGAGGCTGGGGGTGCTCCGACCACTTTCACTGCCTCCAGATGGAAGAGCAAAGACAGGCAGAAGGGAGGAAGGGGAAGGCAAAGGAAAGTAGGTCAAGTAGGAATGCTGATTCCCAGGAAACCCGTCTTCCCCGGCTGGTGGAGCCCCACAGACACTCTACCCAGGGAAGGGAGTGGCCCCCTGCCGACACTTCCAGACTGGACCCCATGGCTTGTTAATCCAACCTCGAGTGGACCCTTTCAAATGGCCCCATTTGCAAGCACTAGTGGCTCCAAGAGCAAAGGTCCTGTGGTTGCCAGTTCACGGGAAGGTCGGCTGGGCTCTGGGCTGACCTCCACTCTCCTCGGGGTGCACAGCTGGTCTGCCGTTCAGCCCCGACTGGGGCTTGAATCCAGCAAATGGCAAATTCACCAAAAACAAAAGCCTCCCTCCCTCAGTATCCTTGCGTAAAAAAGATGCCACTTTCTTGGAGGATCCGCAAATCAGTCATTCAGAATAGGATTACAAAATCAGTCCCTAAGGGCCACTGACTAAAATTTTACCAGCTAGAGAATAAGAGCAAGTTGGTATTCATTAGCTGCTAGGCTCCTAAATAGAGCTACTTTTGGCAAATTCAATGAAAGGAATTCTCCGATTCTGGCTCCAATTTCTCATCCCATCTGGATTTGCAATTCCTGTTTCTGAACAAGGTTGGATTATCAAGTCACAAATTTAGTAGTCTCCCCGGGTGACCTCCCCGCCCCATGCCCTACACATACCTATTTAAGGAACGACATGATAGACAGAACGCAATGGGCATCAAACACTTTGGATGACGAGGTTTACGATTCATTTTAGCAAGACACTCCTGAGGCACGCCTCATTTCCTCTCCCCTCAGCCTCAGGAAACCCTCTGCTACCTTGGATCATAGTCTGTCAAAGGGGGGGCCCTCCTGGCTTGGAAGGAGCCCCTGTGAGCTGCAGCTGTTCCAAGCGGCAGGGCCCTGAACTGACCCGGCAAGGAAACAGCCCTCCCTTGGGGCTAGACGTGTGCTCAGAGTGCGCTCTTGCCTGTGTCGGGTGCACCGGGAACCCAGGAGGGCACATAGGGGCAGAGGAGGGCACCCAGCCTGAGCAAGCCCCCATCCGCAGCCCAAATCGGGCTGAGACCACAAACGGGGCTGCTGACCACAGCTCGGAGCATCCATCTTCCTGCGCTGGGCGCCAATTCTGCCCGTGAATGCTGATGGAATTCCCAGCCCTGCATCGCTGCGTGAACCCTGCCTTCCTCTGAGCCACAGCCTCCCTGCAGTGTCAACCCTTCCAGAACCCCACACTGGTCCAGGCTCGTCCTGCAGTTCCCTGAGGGGCAGGAGCCTTCAGGCCATGTCTGAGCGCCTGAAGGAAACCATCCCCATGTGCATGTAAGGGGAACCGCAGATCACTGATTATTTCTGGCAATGGTGGCTGGGACGGGATCCACGCTCCAGGGTGGAGAAACATGGCAGAAGTTTAAACAATCTCTTTGCACAGGCTCCGGGACAGCAGAGGACAGCCCACTCTGGGGGTCGGCACGAAGCCGGGTGTGCCCCAGGCACGGCCTGGTGAATGCAGGAGGCTTCGAATGGCTCACTTCCTTCTGCCTAGAAGTCACGTACCCTCATGAACCCAGCTCCCACCCACACGGCTGCAGGATGGGATACATGGCAGGGCTCCTGGCCCCCAGTCCCCAAGCCTAGAGTGCTGTGTCCTCCTACAGCCCAAGCATCAGCCTCTGTGGAGGAGCACCCCCAGTGCAGGTCCTCACGGGGCCTGAGACCCAGGGGCAGCTGGGGACACAGACCCAGAAGCAGTGGCCCATGACACCCACCCACACCTGCCACCCAGCGGTACAGAGATCACCAAAGTCTGCCGGGCCTGGTCCTAGGCTGAGACGTCTCTCCTGGCATCCCTTCCTCCCAGCTTCCCTCCCCACCCCCACGAGAATCCCCTTGCAATGCCCCCGACTTGTCACAACCCTTCTGGGGTCATGGCCCAGTGCAAAGCCTCCCTGGGAAACCCAGGCCACTGCTGGCCATTCCCCTGTCTGGACTCACTGGGTTACCTCATTGTAATAAAACACACAGCTAACATCAAGCCCCTGCCCCACAGCCCCCAACCCCACCCCGTCCAGGGTCCCCCGCGGGTGCTTTGCCCACATCAGCTCCCGGAAGCTCCCGGAAGCTCCCGGAAATGCCCACAGCATCCCCGCAGGACTCATGGATCCCTGGGTCCCTTCTGCAGGAGGCACAGGGCTGGGGTGGGAGGGGGGTGCCCAGGGCCAGGTCCTTCCTGGGCCTCAGCAGTAAAACCCCAAGCCACAGATGTGGCCACGGATGCAGGGAAGCCCAAGGAGGGCCCAGCTGGACTTTAAAAAGAGAGGACCCTGCGGACCAGGCTCTCATGGCCTCTGGAGCAGCTCAGGAAGGAGGTCTGATCCTATCATCTACTGGTGGGGGGGGGGGCTTCTTCACACAGTGGAAGCAAGTGGTCTATGCTGCAGGGGTTCCAGGCAGTCCGAGTGGCCTCTGCTGCCTGTCTCTCCGCGGGGTAACAGCTCACGTCACTGCGGGCGTCACTGCCTTGGTGTTGGCTGAAGGCCCCCTTCATTCAGGCTTCACGTCCCCTCCCCTGTCCCAGGATCCTGTCTGGGACATCACGTGACATGCAGCCGTCCCATCTCCCCAAGCTCCTCTGGGCCGCAACGATTTCTCAGACGCCCCTGGTTTGCGATGATTTTCGTGAGGAGTCCTGGCAGGTGGTCCGTGGGGCGTCCCTCCGTGAGGACTGGTCTGGTTATTTCTCGTGATCAGTGGGGGATCGTGGGTTCTTGGGAGGAAGACCCCGGGGGCACAGTGCCCGCCCATCCCATCAGGTCAAGGGCACCTGCCATCGACGTGACCGGTCACTGCAATGTTGACCTTGACCCCCTGGCCGAGGTGGGCTTTGCCAGGCTTCCCCGCCTCCAGTCCCCCTCCCAGCACTCCCACGCCGTGCCCTTAGTGGGGAGGTCACCATGACCCGCGCACGCCTAGGGACTGGGGGTGCCCTCCTTGAGGGTGGCGTGTCCCCATAAGTCATTGGGAGCTCCCTTGCTTGGGACATTTGTCCCTTCTCCTTCATTTATTCATTTGCTCACTTATCTATGTCAGTGTGGACTTGTGGGCCCTCATCTCACTGGCTGGGTGACAGTCCAGTGTCCTATTACTCATTCTGCTCTTCAATCATCCCAGCTTTGCCTTGGGTCGGCTCCTGCCAAGTCCTCTCAAGGAGGCCAGAAGCAAAGCCCGCTCCGGTCTGCATACAAGGGCATGTTAAGGATGATGAGTGAGCCCTGTGTGGGTTCTCATGTGTGCAGCGCATCTCTGTGGGCTGTCTGAGCCTTGACCACAACCACCCAGTATAGTGCATGGCCCCGGGACTAGGGCCAGATAAAGAGCTGCCTCTGGGGCACCACGAGTGGATGGGAAGCTGGCCCTGACCTGAGGCTCTGCTCCGACAGCCCTATCCCTCTGGTCCTGTCCCCTCCCACCATGGTGGAAGGAGGTCGCTGGTCAGTAAGCAGCACCTACCCAGCGAAGGGGTCCCGGCAACACCATCTCCCCTTGACCCTCCATACCTGCCTGCTCCTTAACAGGTGAGAGGCCAGGCTTAAACCTTACGCTGCCTCAGGAAACATCCTCGGGTCTGTAATTCATACTAAAGTGCAAATGACTGCCACCAACACAGAGGCTGCCTGTCCGTCTTGGTAGGGGAGGGGCCTTGGGCACTGAGACATGGCAGGAGGAAGGTGTGTCTGGGGTGGGGGTCCAGTGAGGAGAGAGGAGGAAAGCAAGGGGTCCCTGTCAGCAATCAGCTGGGTCAGGCAGGTGAGGGCTGGGGTGAGGTCAAGCCTCTCCTTGGGGAGCCCTCTCCCCACAGCAGCATTCAGAGAGTAATCTCCACCTAGAGGAGCTAAAGATGCGAAGGATGCCATCAGGAGAGGCCCAATGGCAACATGGCTGTCTCTCCCTGTGCTCCCCCCCAGCACTCCCTCACAGGGTGAGGAAGGGACGCTACTCCCCTTGATGTGCCTGGAGCAGGCTGGCTGTAGGTCTGAGACACCATCCCAGGGCCTGCCCTTGGCTGAGGGTACACGCTGGCATTCCTCACCCTGGAGAACTTGAGGGTAGAGGGTCAGAAAGGAGCAGAGGACAGGGTCGCAATGTCTGCTCTGGGCCCAGACCCAGCCTGGACTCGTCTTGGCCAGAGCGGGTCCCCATGCAGTCCAACCAGCTCATGGGCAGCTGCTGGGACAGCATGGCTACCGCAGCAGAGATAATAAGTACCCCGTGGCTGGGCCTCACCTCTGGGCCACCCCTCTTCCAGAGTCCCCAGCAGGACAGCCCCATCCAAAGCAGGGCCATGGTGGGTGGGGGTAACTCTGTGTGTCCAGGGGCCCATGGGCCAGTTAGTGAAGGGAGAAGAGGCATCTCCTTTGTGACCTGCCATGACCTGGCCATTAGCCAAATTCCCCCTGGTTTGCAGGGAGTGTGCGTTCTGTTCACAGGACACACACGGGCACCCAGACACGTGTCCCAAGGCCCTGCTGGCTGCGTCCACTCACGGGATGCACCATGTCGGGCTTCGCTGCTTCTCAAGAGAGACGATATGTCCAGGAGACTCAGACTGTGAGCTGTCGGGTCCCGATGATTCGGGGCTCTGTTCTCCATAGACCGAGGTTGGGGGGACACGCAAAGCAGGTGACAGTGATGTACGGAAGGGAAGGCACAGATGCCAAGAGCCCCATCTAAGACCGTCAGATGGGGGCATGAGCTTGGCTAGCCTCCCAGGCCCATCGGGAGAGATATGTCCCACCGGGAGGGACATGTCCCACTTGGCATCTGTACAGAATGGGGACTCAGCGGCTCTCTGGGGACATCAGTGAGAACATCACTGTGGCTTCCTCTCACGCCAGAGCATCTTTCTGCGGCATCTTGGGCTGCTCCTGCTGCATAGCAACATGCCAGACACGTATTTCTTACTGTTCTGGAGGCTGCAAGTCCCAGACCAAAGTGGGGTGGGCTTGGTTTCCATTGGGAGCACTGCTCCTGGCTGGCAGACGGCCACCCTGTCCTCGCATGACCGTGAGGCCCTTCCTCTGAGCACACGCAGAGGGCGAGAGCTCTTCCCGGGTCTGTTCTTCTTCTTGTAAGGTCACCGATCTTATGGGATCAGGGCTTCACCTTAGTGACTTCATGTGGCCCTGATGGCCTCCCAGAGACCCCATCTCCAAATGTAATCCCAGGGCAGTTAGGGCTTTAACGTACAGATCCTGGGGACACAAGCAGTCCGTAACATATGGGAAACGAGCATGGCCATTTTCCTGGTGTGATTGGCCTATGATGTCTGTGCAGGGATGTGGACGGCGGGTGGGTCCATGGCCTGGGAAGGGGCAGGAGCTGGAGCCTGTGCAGGGTGTGCCTCCGGCCCCAGCCACCGTGAGCCCCAAGGCCACAGACAAGTCACAGCCTGCTCTGTTTTGGCCCCTGATAATGGCTGCAAGTGGTCCCTGTGCCCCGAGGTGCCGATGTGGGAAATCAGAGGAGGTCATGGGGGAAGGTTTCAGAAACGAGGCCCCAGGCCAAGAACGGGGGAGATCCTAGCCTCCTGCCCCACGGCTTTCACTCAGCTCCTCACTACTCACTCCTTCCCACAGCAAGCTTCCTACGTCCTTGTCCCAGGAACACTGACACAGCGACAGAAACGGGGCTGGACCCACAAGACACACAGCAGGGAGCATGGGCAGAGACACAGGGCTCGGGGAAGCCATGCGGCGGACACAGGACAGCAAGACACAGACGCGTGGCTGGACGCCCTGCGCGTGCCCGCAGCCCGGGCACTGCGCACCTTACCTCGGAAGTAGGGGATGTAATGATGTCTGAACACGGATGTAGGGCTTGGGTGTTGGGACAGGGACAGGCAGCTACTGGTACCAACACTCACAGTACCAGCTGCGGGCGACAGAGAGCAAGTCAGAGTCCACCCCAGGCCCACTGGCCGCACAGCCACCAAATATTCCTAGGCCCCACTCCGCTAGGAACATTTGCGCTTCCTCTTCCGAGGAAGGGACACCTTTTTGAGGCAGCCAAGGGGGACTCAGCAGATACGCTTTAGGCCAGTCTGCTCCGGTTCTGAGCAAGGAAGCCCGGCCACCTGAGGGACAGGGAGGCAGCCCCGGCCCTGAGCCCTGTCCTCTCCCTCCACACGGGGGCTCCTTGGCCTCCGTGACAGCTGACAGCAGCTGGCTAGAGTGGGGCGGGCACGCACCTGACAGGCACCAGGCCTTGTCCTGCCGAGACCCACATCTTAGCTCCCTGGGGGCCGCACCCGGCCAGGCATAGCCAACAAGCCCAGCTGAGCCAGGGGTCGTGGTTTGGGGATGGGGGATCAGGAGAAGGGCCCTCGGAGAGGACGCCTGGGGAGGCAGACCGCCCTTCAGCCCTCACTCACCTGCTTGCCTGCTTGCTTGCCAGTCATTCATCCATTCGTTCACTCTCACACCTGCTCACTCATTCACTCACTCATTCACTGACACACTCATTCACACACTCGCTCACCCACTCACTTGCTCACTAACACACTCCCTCACTTATTCACTCATTCACTCACTCATTCATTCACTCACACACGTGCTCACACTCACACTTACTGGTTCACACACATACACACTCACACCCTCACTGGCTCACTCACACACTCACACACCCCTGGCTCCCTCACACACACACTCGTATACCCCCTGGCTCACTCACACACTCACACACACAACCCCACGGTGACTCTAACTGGCTAGTTACTAACTGGCTCACTCACACCTACGCACTCACACTCACATGCCTCCTGGTTCACACTCTCGTGGGCTCACTCACACACACTCACACACCCCTGACTCACACACCTGCACACACACTCACACACCCCTGGCTCATATGCTTGCACACCCTCTGACACACACACACACTCATGCACCCCATGGCTTATACACTTGCACACCCCTGGCTGACCCACACATCCCTGCTCACACATACATGCACACCCCCTGCCTCACACACTTGCAACACACACTTGCACACCCCCTGGCTCACACACTCGCACACTGATCCATCCATTCTCCACTTATTGAGCAGGATGTTCCGAGAACATTGCAGGGAGTCGACAAAAATAACTTTGCAAATGAGTGAGTTGATTTTTCCACAAAGGCTGTGAAAATTAGAGCTGTAGCCTGTGGATGTGGACATGGAGTCATGCAGCAGCTGGCTATGGAGGAAGCAGCTTGGAAAAATCCCTCACAGAGGCAGTGTGCACGTGGAGTGTCCCTGGGCTTGGACACACTGAGGCCAATGGTGAGTTTTCAGAGGTAAGGGCAAGCGATACACAGCTGGGCGCCAGGCAGGGAAGGCAGCGGGCCAGGGAAGGAGAGCGCCCTGCCCTGGGTGTCCCCTTGCCAGGAGGGGGCAGTAAGCCCACAGGAACGGCTGCCGGTCTTCGGGGCCACCAACCCAGCCATAGGTGAAGGGTGTCAATAGATATTCTAGCTGTTTTTGGCCATTGACACTGCCTGCACAGTTCAAAGCCCCCAGCCCCACGTGAGCCCGGCACTAACGGACCTCTGGTCGCCCACATTTATGACCCTTTAGCTCGCTGGCATCCCTTGCTATATTCTAAATGCTCAGCGCTGCCTGTGTGTCTCACCCAGGTAACCAGCTGCCTGCGCAGAAGTCCTCCAAACACGGGGGGCTGACCTCCCCAGACACGTGACCTGGTCAAGTTCTCCCATCACCCACTGGCCATCCCACACCCGGCCCATCATCTTTCCGGTTGTGTAAAGGAAGAGACAGAGTCAGAAGAGGGAAAGCAATAAGAAATACAGCTTGATCTGGGGTCAAAGAAGCCACGGGGGCTGAGTACCTGGACGGCTGTAGTGCTGGGGGGACCGTGAGGTTGGGGTGTAGCGCCCGAGGCTGACGGACCCGGTGGAGCTTGGGCTGGAGGTCCGGCACTGCTTGTAAGAGCGGTCATCCTGATCCCCCTGGGAGGAAAGGCAGCCTAGTGAACAGCGGAGCTGTGGGCACTGCCCGCCCCTATGCATTCACCCTCCTCCTGGTGTTGGCCCTCTGGACTGGAGAGGCTGACTCAGCGTGGCCCCAGAATGATACTGTCTGCACCTGCCAGGGCACCCCGGGGTGAGCCAGGTAGGGGCTGGGCCCTGTGCCAATACTCCCCGTGGCCTGAGCATGGCCCCAGAACCCCCAGATCCCAGAGGGCAGAGTCTCCATCAGCCTTCCCTATGGCTGGGCTCCCAAAGAGGGTTCCCCCTACACCCCTCCTGCCCCATCCTTCCGGCCACCCAAACTCCTTACAAGCAGGACCTTTTGAGATCCTCAAGAATCATGAGATTCTGCATTCTCCCCCTGCCTCCCGCACAAGGGGGCTCCCAGATCTGGGATGTAGAAGACACCCCTCCCAGGCTCGAAGGCCCAGTTGAGTCAGACCCACAAGCACTGGCCCATGCACGAGACTCCAGTCAAATGGGATGAACAATGGTTTGGAACAGTCAGAGCAGGCTGCAGGTGGCGTGAGATGGCATGACACCATGGTGTGGGGGAGGGCAGGCTGCTGGCCCACCACAGCCCGGACCACCAGCCAGAGTCCTGGAATGGCCCAGCCCAGCAGCCTGCCGTGGGGTAAGCAGAGGCCAGCATGAGGGTAAGCCCAGGAGAGAGGAGAGCCTGGTCTGGAGCTCATGGCCCTCACGCTTTCTGAGCTGACCTTCTGCCTCCAAAAGCATGTCCTTCAGCAGAACTAGCTGAGTCACTGCCCTAACACCTGCCCATGCCCCCACCTCCACGCCTGGCCAGGCCAGCTCCCGCATTGGGATCTCACCCGCCAGGTGTCCCCTGGCTTCCCCCTGAGCCTGCCTGGCCTGTCCCACCCACAGCGATGGGTGCTCTCTCCCTGCTGACCAGTTGCCATCCCACAGGTGTCCCATCTCCTCGCTTAGCCTATCTGTGGGGCTGGCCAGCTACATGTGGTTTTTGAAGCTCGGCATGGATGGCCACTTATCCGGTATAGGTGGTGCATTCCTGGATCTGAGAGTTCGATGCCCATGCAGACTGGAGTCTGATTGGCACCTGTCCAGACCCCTGAGTGGCTCTGAGAAATAGGCAGACAGGGCTGCGGACTAGAAATGCTATTGGATAGAGAAATGCTCTTGGAATATTCGTCTGTGAGGACCCGGCGCTCTGTACGTCCCACCCAGAGGAGCGTGAGTGGGCCCAAGCTCACCCGGGCTCCTGGGCCTTTTATCTCCAGGACGAGCCAGACCTCGAGGGAGCCACATCCCAAGTGTCAGCCACTGCAGGACTGACAGGTGCACCATGGAAGCATGCAGATGAGACGTGATTATAAAAATAACCGACACCCAGGACGGCGTTTCAGGCCATCGAGGACCATGGCCCCAGATCCCGTGGTTGAGAGCTACAGAGGCCCTCTCAGGGTTGCCGTGGGTGGTTATGTTTATAACCCCGGTGGCAGTGCCATGAGCAAGAGGGGGCGTTGGCCGGGGACAGGCAGTTACCTCCGTCAGCGTTGGCGAGAGTACCTGCGGGGACTGGGGACACAATATGCAGAGTGGCCTGTTAGGTCGCTGGTGGGGGTGGAGGGGCACACACACGCCCTCACACCTAGACCCTCCTCCAGACGGGAAATGAACCCCACCATAAGACACGATGCAGGATTCTAGAACCTTCTTTTTAGATAAATACGGTCAATGGCCCTCCAAGAAAGGGGTCCCCAGATCACTTGTTTGGGCCAGGCTTGGAGTGTCCCTCCACACTGGCCCACCCTGATGCCCACTGCTCTCCCCTGAGGATGTATTTTCCAAAAGGAAGACCATCAGTTCAGGGTATGCGGTGACAACAACATCTGAACGCAGCACCTTGGTTTTCTCCAGACAGGAGAGATGAGGGGCCCAGAAAAAGGAGGGGCTGTTAGGACCTCAGGGTTTAGGGTTCCTGCTCTCTGCAGAATGGAAAGGGAAAGTGTCCCCAATCTTCCCATTTCACAGAAGGGGAGACTGAGGCTTGGAGAGGTGAAGGCAGTTCCCTGAGCCTCCAGCCTGCTGTTCTTTTTCCCGCTGGACCCCTGCTCTGGTGGCCACCTGCCAGAAGGCCACTATCCCAGAGAGACAGGGCCCTCCAGCCCTGAGGCCAGCATCTGCTCAGCTCAGTGCCTGCCCCTTCTTCTGGGGCTTTCCTGTCCCCACCCCATCATTCACCCACAGAAGAGCCCCCTTAGAGATTTCCACTGTGCCGGCTTCCCGCCAGGGTGCGGCAGGGCCTGGAGAGGGGAGAGGCCCAGGGCCCTGAGATAGGGGAGTGAGGGGACTCTGACACCCCCGGGGTGTCAGCCCAGTGTCCATATGGTGAGTAGGCCAGTGGAGTAAGCAGTGATCTGGATGGTGGGGACACTGCTCAGCTGCCACAGTGTGACCCACCAGCTCACAGACAGTGCACCACAGGAGGGGTGTGGCATTGGTGACCGTGGCTCAGACTTGACATGTGCCCCATGCTGTTATGCTCTGCTTGTTTGTTTGCAGACACTTCCAGGACCTGCGGGAGCAGGACTGAGGGTAGTAGCAGCCCGCGCCCACGTTCACGTGTGGCCCTCCCCGACCACAGGGCTCCATGGCACTCACAGCAGCCCTACAAATGGCTGGGGTCCCCATGAGCTAGTCTGCACAGGAAATCTCAGGCTCCAGCCAGGGAGGGTGGGGTGGCCCAGGGCCACCAAGGGGTTGGACAGGAACTTGAACCCCGGCCTCTAGATTTGGCTCCCGTGTCTTAGAGGAAGCGCGAGGGGCAGCTAAGGAAATAGCCAGCAGGTGGTCTTTGGGGCAGAAAGGCCTGGATTGGTCTCGGCTGTGCCGTTCATCATTTGGGGGAGGTTGGCCAAGTCACTGGACCTCTCTGATCCTCTTCTAGTGCTGTCCACTGGAGCTGACCAGATGCTGGAGAATAAAGCCCCACGCACAGCTTGTGTGCATGGTAGGAGGGGGCAGGTTGGGATCCCTCCTTGTCCTGCCTCTGAATGGGGCTTGTTGCCCAGATCCTCAGGGTCCCGGGTGTCCCCTGCAGCAGAAGCCAGCCAGGAGAGGTGCCTGCTGGCTACTGAGCAAACTAACTGGGGTTGTCGTCACCCTCCTGCCCCACCCTTGTGTTGCACAGCCCAGCACATCTCTGCCCGGCTCCCAACAAGTGGGCAGCACACACGCTTGGGCCACCAGCTGGAACATTGTTCTTTCCACCTATCCCAGGCATCCACGGCCACACTCCAGTCTCAACACTACCAAAGAGCAGGGAAAACCAACAGCGGACTCCATGTGAGATGGAGAAAAGCCATGAGAACCAAGTCACCAGAGAAGGACGCGCCCGAGGGACTCTAGGGAGTCCATCGTGTGTGGTCCCCACAGGTGGTCAAATCAGCGCATGGGATTCATGAGGCGGGAGGCAGGCCAGCCGCGGAGGGCGGCAGCTTTCCTTCACACCAGCGTGTCTCCTACTTCCTCCCTTGCCCAAGCAGACCCTCTGCCAGGGTTGGGGTGGAGCCCTTGGGGCCTCTCGATAGGGGATGGGCACGGGCCATTAGAGGGGACAGGAGGCTGAGGGTCAGAAGGGGAGGAAGCAGACGCGACTCCTGCCATGGGCACGCCGCCTGCTATTGGGGCCGCACCTCATGGCAGCTCTGCCTGCCTGTCGCTGAATGGCTGATGTATGGCGAGTAGGAGATCATGTCGGGGCGGTCGATGTTATAGATGGCCTTGCTTTTAGGAAGAGCAGCCAGGTCCCTGTAGTCAAGAATCTCATCGCCCAGCTTGGCCTGAGAGAGAGAGAGAGAGCAGAGGCGCTGTGACTCACAGCCCAGAGAGGGCAGCAGGTGCTCCAGTGGCCACTTGGACAGCGGGGCCCTGCCCAGGAGCCAGGCTCTATGCAATGCGGGTGAAGAGACAAAGGCAGCGGTGAAAGGGTCCTTGTGGTCATGTGGGCCTGGGTCCCTCGACCCCACCATGGAAGGTCACACGGTCCTAAGGAAGTTTATTCTCTGAGCCTCTGCCTCTCACCCTCCAGAATGGCACAAACAGTTGCATAGGACAGCCCCAGGGGCAGACAGGTAGAGCTGCTTGCCTGCCCAGCACAGAGCCCAGCAGACAGCGAGACTCAGCCCACAGCCTAAACATACCTGTGCACACCTGTGTATGCACACACAAATCCATACACACATGCAAATCACGCGCACACACACAGATGAGAATGCACACATGAGTATATGGACATGCAAATTCTTGGATGCATATGCGTACATACACACCCACAAGAATAACATGCACGTGTGTGTGTAAACACAGACCCATGTGTGAATATATGCAAACAGTATGTGAAAACATGCCCGTAAACACACATGCACGCATGTGTGCACACCTAAAACACGTGTGTGCAAATAGGCATGTGCAGGCACTTAAAGTCGCATGTACATGTATGTGTGCATCCAAACACGCACATTCGTGCACACACAAAATATATACACACATAAGACACGTGCGTGTGTGCATGCATTTAAATATACACCTAGCAGGTGTGTGTATGTGCATGTGCAAACACCATGTACACACTTATGCACACATATTGCACGTGCACACAGAAGACTGCCTACGGCAGAGGCGGTATATGCACTCACAGATCTCTACCCTCTCACTGCCACTGCCAAACACTAGCACACACACTTGCACAAGTCATAAGTGCCCATACCCTCTCACACACTCATGTGTGCAGGCACAATGCACACTCCCTTTCTCACCCACCACTGCACACCAGCACAGACACTCACACATGCTCCTGTCCCCACACCAGTGCATGTTCATGTCCACACACTTGCTCATATGCACACACACAGTCCCACACTGGCACCCATGCTCTCGGCCCCAAACTCACACCTACACGTGTACATGGACACACTCCCATGTGATAACACACATTCATACCCATAATCACACTCACCCAAACCACTACACATTCACACGCACAGGTATTCACACTCCCACAAGGTTGCACACACATGCGCGCACTCAGCAATTTCCACTAGAGATACAGCAGCAGTGACTGACACCTGTCGGGCTGGCTGGGCTAGGACCACTGGTGGAGCTAGGACTGCACCTGGACTCCAGCAGGTGCTCATGGAAGGTGCACACAGAGCCACGGCATTTGCTCAGGGAACAGCCACCAGACCACTCACTCTCCTTTGACCTGGCCTTCTCCAGCATAGTCCCACTGCTCCGGGTTTCTGCTCCCACTCTGCTGCCCCTCCCTGCTCCAGGGGGCTGCCGGGGGCACATGGCAGGCTGAAACAGTTCCTGGAGCTGGGCAGGACCACACCCACACACCCCTCAGCTGTCACAACAGGACGATCATATGTGTCAGTTCCCGTGTTCCTGTCGTGGATGCCAACGTCCCCATCCATCCCAGAGCAGACACCTGTGGTCACCTCCTCCCCAGCAGGACCCCCTGTCAGGATTAAGGTCAGCTTGGCCTTGCCAGATGTCAGGTTGCCCCCACTGGCTCAGCTCTACCTGAATCCCGAGGAAACCTTTTGCTCAACCCCAGTGTCCTGCAGTGACCAGGGGCCAGGGCCAGCATGGGCGCACATTCTTCTCTGCAGTGGAACCAGCTGTCCCTTTCCAGCCCAGGTGGCTCTGGTCCAGGTCCTCGCTGCTCACATCTAGACCCGGCCAGAGCCTTCAGGGCGTTCTTCCCACATTTGCGCCAAACAAACATCATCAACAGAGGTTGCTAACACTGTGAGCTCCTCCCTGGGACGGCACTGGCCTGAGCCTTTTATTATCTACTCCCCAAATACTCACGAAGAACCCGTGATGGGAGCGGCTAGTTACCACCCTTCACTGATGCAGAAAGCAGAGCCAGAGAGGTTAGGTAACTCACCCAGAGTCACACAGCCAGGGATGTGGGGTAGGAAGAGCTGTGCTCCCCACCATCGCCCTCTGCCGGGCCCCAGTCTCTGAGCCCCACCTATGGCACATTGCCTGCCAGCTCAAATCTTCCGCCAGCCTCTCCAGGTAGGTGACACAACCCCTCGCTACGGTCCCCAAATGCAAGGTTGACGTTCCCGGCCTGCTCCCCCCAAGGTCTCTCCTTCCTGTGCCCCCAGCAGGCCAGGGTTCAGACCCATGTGTGAACCTTGGCCTCCCCTGACCACCCGACTCCAAGGATCTCATGAGCTGGTGGGTGCTCTTGGGGTGAATGCTGCCATTTGTGGTGTAGGTTGAGAGACGGAATGTCGGATGTCTCAGGCCTCTGACTCTTCCCCGTGGAGCCTTGGGCAGGGCTCAGAAGACCTGAGTTCGAATCCTAAGCCTGTCGTTTGTAGCCAGGACGGACCCTGATCAGAATTTTTGAGTTGTTCCTCAAGGGCCCTTGTGCACCCGCTTACCCGAGGGGCTCACTCCACCGCCCACGCTGCCTACCAAGATGAGCTTCTTATGGGGCCCAAGGGCTTGGCACCTGCTGCTCTCTCCCAGGCCTCTGTGCCTGCTCCCTCTCGGGTTCTTCCAGACTCAGTCCAGGTCGCCCTCTCTGAGGGACCTGCCCTGCCCTCTCCATTATTTGGGTTGGGTGTCTTGTCTCCTTCAAGTAAAAGTGCTGATGTTGGTTGACACATCAGGCTCCCACGAGGGACTGGTGGCTCCTGGGGGTCCAAGACTAGATCTGATTCATTACGGAGTCTCTCTCCCTAGCTCTGTCCCTGGCATGGCAGGGTTCTTGGGGCATACTTGCCAAATTCAAGTAAAATCCTTGGGGCATTTGCCAAAATTAGGTGGATTCTCTGGGCCATTTTACAAGATGAGAATGCCACCTATGTCTTGTCTATCCACTGGATTTCATGAACCTCAAATTAAAGCTGACGCTGGAATGGGGGGCCGGGCGAGGCCTGGACTCATGGGTCCATGTGCAGATGGACACACTTCCCTGCCTTGGACCCCGCTGTGATCAGAGCATCTGCCCTCCCGTGGCTGTCACCCCACTCTGCACAGGTCAGTGAGGCCGGCCTCGCCCTGGGTTAGCCCCTGCCAATCCCCGAACAGCATGGATAAGGGAGGTAGCTGGAGGGCACCAATACTGCCTGCTCCCACCCTGGACAGGTGGCTCTGCTCCTGGGGCCTCAGCATCTGTCCTGCCTAGTACACACACAGATGCATTTCCTCCCACAGCTGGCCTCTGGGTGGTCACCATGACAACGGGCTATGCTCTTTAATTGGCAGAAGGCCACTGGGATGCGTATATGTTCCTGGGACTTTTCTTCACTTTTTTCTCTCCCCCACTCCATCCAGCATCATAATTAATAACATATGGCTGTCCACGACCGTATAGTTACAACAAGCTGTCCCTAATAATACATTGTAACGTGATGATGCTGATTTTCTGCTTTCCTTTGTTACTGATTTATTGCCGCACTGAAGAAAGTTTATAACAAAATATTCAGCATGACCTCATTTGGGTTAAAAAAGAATACAGCACAAAGGGACCTAAGGGGCATGTCATATAATATTATCAGGGCTACCTTGGCTGGTCGGAGAGCACACGTTATCCATCTTCTGCACCGCTGGGCTGCTGGGCAGCTGGCATCCTTCCAAGCTGCAGCAAGGCTCAGGCTCCCCCCACCCCCCCGCCTCTGGGCCCAACACTGAGCACAGTATCAGGCACACAGTAGGCCAAACACAGATCCCAACAGAGAGATGAAAGAAAAAGCAGGGCATGGACACATGGGTGGATCAGTCGGTTGAGCAGCTGCCTTCAGCTCAGGTCATGATCCCAGGGGCCTGGAATCGAGTCCCACATCGGGCTCCTTGCTCAGCAGGAGTCTGTTTCTCCCTCTGCCTGCTGCTCCCCCAGCTTGGGTGTGTTCTCTTTCTCTGACAAATAAATAAAATTCTTAAAAAAAAAAATGCAGAGCAGAGCCCTGAGACAGAGGAAGGGCTTGCTTCCCCAGACTCACGCCTCTCCAGTGAAGGAGTTCCAGGGACGTGTGCCGACGGGGTGTCCACACCACCCTGATTTGGGGGGAAAGATGGCTGGATGCTCTGGCCTGTGACTGACCTGATACCCTGGAGGGCAGATGTGTCTAGGCTGTGTGCTGGCCATGGTACTTGGAGCCCATGTGTTGGAACGGGACATGGGCGCTCTCGGGTGGGGGGGTCCAAGGCTTGGTAGCTGTGATGCAGATGAATTTCTGCAGGTCTCTGAGTGGCATCTGTGAAGTGGGTGCAGTGACCCGGGGAGGGAGGAGGAGGAGTGTGACGTACATCCCGAGGTCCCCTGTGCTCACAGCCTCTCTATTGTGTCATGAGCATGTGTCACGCTCAGATTCGGGGGACTGGGTGAAGTTAACTTGCTCGAGGCCTGTTGAAAACTGGAATCCAGGGCACCCATATCAGCCAAATGGAAGTTTATCCAAGCTGAGACCGCCCACCTCAGGCCAGTGAGCACCAGTAACCCCAGTGCAGATGTTCACGGGGCCTTTCAAGGAGCCGTGACCACAGGGCCCAGCATTGCTGCTCGTCTCACAGTCCCGACTGTATCTCAGTCCTTGACAAATGACAGATTGTTTAAAAGAGGAGCTCACACCGAGAGAGCCGTTACCATGTGCTTGCAGCCATGGCAGCCACAGAAGCCAGGCGCCCCCTGTCTCAACAAGTGCGCCACTGACCTTGTCTCACCGAAGTAACAGAAATCGTAATTAAGATCTTTCATGACATTGATGACACCATGGGCTGAATTACATCCTGTCAAACCCGTATCTCGAAGCCCTAACCCCTGGGACCTCAGGTGGGACCGTGTTTGGAGATGGGGTCTTTACAGAGGTGAGTAAGATAAAAGGAGGTCACGAGGGCGGACCTCTATCCCATCTGACTGGTGACCTTAGAAGAAGAGATTAGGACACAGAAAGACACAGAGGAATGACCATGTGAGGGACCAGAAGAAGACTAGAAGCCAAGGATGGTGGCCTCAGGACAGTCAGCTGTGCCCACACCTGGATCTCAGCCCCAGCCTCTTAGACAGGGAGAGAATGCATTTCTGAGGTTGGAGCCACCTGCTCCGTGGGATTTATTTGCTATGGTGGCTGAGCTACGAGCACAGACGTCACACTGATCATCACAGTAAGCATTCCTGAAGTCCTGCCTCTGGCCAGGGCTGCAACTCAGGGCTCCCCCCCCCCAGGCCCTAGACAGCAGGAACTGTGAGTCTCCTTTGGTAAAGATGAGCCCTCAGAGGCTTAGAGAGGTTCACTCATCACCCAAGGGCACACAGCTGGTCTGATGAAATCACACTGCCTTTCTGAGCCTCTGAGGGCATGTTCACAAAGGGCCACACTGTGATTCATCCTTGGGGCTCATAATAATCATGTTCCCCTGAGGACTAGAGTACTTGGGATTGTTACCCATCAGAATTCAGATCAGGAATGACTCTACATCCAAAGAGTATGAGATTCAGGGCTGAAATGGTGTCAGGAAGAGCTGATCCAACCCCCACAGTGTCCCACCTGGCTGGGTGGGAAGGGGCTGGCAGAAGGGACGTGCCCCAAGTCACCTGCTGCTCCTTGCAGTAGCAGAGCAAGGCCCTGACGCCCAGCTGCCCCTCCCCCAGCCTGTACCAGGAGCCTCAGGTCTCTTCCTCCCAGCACAGTTTGGTGCTCACGGGTAAATTAGCAGACGTACCGACCTCCCACTGCCCGTCCTGCCACCAGAGATAGCTGCTGGGAAAGACCTAGTGATCATTTTAATACTTTGTGTACACACCACCTGCACACACCCACATGCACATGTACGCACCCATGCATACACCCACGTGCACACTTGCACACCAGCACCCACCCATGTGCACACGTGCACATACCCCCACATGCACATGTACACACCCGCACATACCCACATTCTCGCACACCCATATATACACCCATGTGCATACACACGCACACACCCACATGTGCACACACCGGCACACACCCATATGTATACATACACACCCATACACACACCAGCGCACACACCCATATGCACACGTACCACCTCCACACACCTGCACACACATCCACATGCACACATGCACACCCATACACACACCCATATGTACACGTACACTCCTACACACACCTGCATGCACACCCACATGTACACGTACACAACCACACACACCCGCACACACACCCATGTGCCACATACACACATCTACACACACCCATATGCACACATAGACACCCATATACACACCTGCACGTACACCCATATGCACACACACACATCCCATATGCACATGCACATGCACCCATACACACATATACCCCTCTTCGTTCACACATGTACACACACACACACTCTTTAATGAAAATGGGATCACATAACGTATATTATCAGTAACAAGCTTCTCGTAGGAACACATTAGCAGCACTTCCCAGGGCAACAGGTGCACATCTGTACTGCTATTGGCCACGACTGCCCAGTCCCACGTGAGCCTGAGTATTTCTTATTCAGGCAAGACTTAGCTGTGGGACGGGGACACAATATCGATTTGACACCCCCATGGACAACAGCTGTGAGCACATCTGTTTGGGCACCATCACCCTGGAAATAGGCAGTCCCCAGGTGGCATGGCAGTCCTTGCCAAAGGATCTGAGTCAACATCGTGAAGTCTGCCCTGGTCTGTGCCCCGTGGCAGTGATGAGGGCACCAGGTCCACACTCTGATGCTCAAGGATGCCCAGCCCCCGATGGCACCCCCAGCAATGACCCAGGCCCAGACCATCCCCCCCACCGGTCTCCCCACTCTCCGACTCACATAGATCACACGGCTGGGAGACCCCGAGGTGCTGGAAGCAGGTACAGAGATGATGCTCTCAGAAGAGCTTCTGGTTTCCTGGAAAGGAGACAGGAGGAGACTGTAGCAGCATGTGTCAGTGCCAGAAGCTTCCAGACGCAATCATCACAGGTCACGCTCCAACAGAAATGCCAGTTGCGGGATTTTTTTTATTTTTTTTTTAGGTTGAAAGAATTCTTAAAATAAACACTTGGGCTTGAATGAGCTGCTGGAAAGCTATAATCAGACAGACACAGCAGGTGACACGGGCTGCCAGCACCCCAGCGAGCTCTCTGCACGGTTGGAAACACTCCGATGATCACCTGGCTTGCGTGCACAGAAATTATGTTTCAGGGGACAAGAGCAAGCAATGCATTTTCAACCTATTCTGCAGGCTCCGGTACCCAAGGCCATCACTTTTACACACAATGTTACTGCTCAGAGGTATTATTTTCCACCTAGATTATAGGCGTGGGTGGTCATTGCTCATTCTACCAGCCTGGTCCTTTGCTGTCGGACTCTGTGGCCATGTCATCTGTGACCTGCTCCTCGAATGTCTACCTCATCCCTCCTCCCTCCCAGACCACATCTCCTGCTTCACCCAAGGGGACGGTTTCCCTGGTCCTTCCTCTGTCCCCTGCATCGGGGGCACCCATCCCTGCAAGGACACTGTCCTCCAGCTCCCAACCCACTCTCTACACCTGCATCTCTCCCCACCTGTAGGCATGACCTGGCAGCTGTCTGCCCCCCAGGTCCAGCCTCCACCCCTGCCTGGACCACCCACCACCTGGCTTTCCCATGCCACCCCTGCCAGAATACAGACCTCCCTCCCCACCCCACAGACAGCTCCCCCCGCTGCCTCCTTTCTTGCTGCCATCCCTCTTGGTGTCCCATGCCCCCTGCAGTGAAGCCAGCAGCCTGGGAAGGGCCCCGTTGTAGGCTAAATGATGTCTCCTGAAATTCCTGTATTGAAGCCCTCATCCCGAGCATGCCAGAATGTGACCCTGTTTGGAGAGATGTAATTAATGTAAGATGAGGTCACAAGGGGAGGTTCTGATCCAATCCAATGGGGGTCCTTGCAAGAAGAGGGGATCAGGGCACAGATGGGCACAGAGGGACGACTGTGTGAGGACACAGGGAGAAGGTGGCTGTCTACACCCCATGAGGCCTTGGAAGGAACCATTCCTGCCTGCACATTGAGCCAGGACCCCCAGCCTCAGGGACTGGGAGAGAATACATTTCTACTGGTTGAGTCACCAGTCTGCAGCAGTGGCCCCAGGACACTCTCACGGGCCATAGGGTCCTCCCCTTGCAGGTGGAGGACATCCAGCTCCTCCTTCCCTTGGCAGGACAGCAATAAGAACAGGACAACATCCTGTCATGCCTGTAAGGCACAGAGGTGGCAGCCCAGGGAATCTGATCGTAATCCTGGTTATACATTCGGGGCAGAAAAAGAAGAGGGAGAGGGCACAAGGCTGGGGGTCCCCACCTCACTCGCCCATGCAGCCATTCTGGTCTGTCTCCATCACCCACACTCCTGGGGACGGCCAGCTTCCTCCAGGTCCAGGCGTGGGGCCGCCCCCTCCCTCAGGAGGGCCCCGGCTGTGCCCCAGCGCTGGACGGGGCACTGACCCAGGGCTTCCGAGGACCAGTGGGACTCAGCCCAACCCTACTGTGCAGTCTCGTGTCCTCAGCCTCCCCCGTGTCAGACACAGCTACGTGCTGTCTGCAGAGAATGTCCCAAGACAGCTAACGGGTATGTGTCTGTCCCTGGCCCTGTGTGCAGGTGGCCCATCACACTGGCCCCAAATGAGGTCCGTACACATTCTATACACTCAGAAAAAACCCTTTGATTCTCTGCTTCCTTGTCTATAAAGGCAATTTCCCTGAGGATCCGACCAGAGACATGGCGTGCTGGGAGCCCAGTGCTGGCAAATCATCCTGGCTGTCATATCATTTCAGCCTGGGCTCAGGACACAAAGCCCCTTGCTTGTAAAGCAGAGGAACTCGGGGTGTTTTCAAGGAAGGGGTGCTGAAGCGGGGAGACCCAAGGACGGCCCCACGCCCGAGGAATACCTCCTGGCCCCGGGGTGACACCACCACTGTGATCCCAGGTGCTCGGGCTGCCTCCATGGGCGCAGGGGCTGGCAGTGTCCCCGTACCTGCAAGGTGTCCCCAGCAGGCAGCTCCTCCGAGCTGAGTCCTGGGAACCTCCTCCAGGGTCCGGAGACCCGGCTTTCTCTCACTCTCTATCCGGACTCCAACACACCCCAAGGAGCCTCACCATTAATCAATACTTACTTGTGCTCTTGGGGGCTTGTTCACACCCATGGAGACAGATGGGGCCAGGCTGCTCGCCCAGCCCCTTCTCCAGCACTAGGCCTGACCCCCGGCAGGCACCATCCTGTAACAGCGACTGGGGAGCCTGCTTCTCGCGGGGTCATGTACAAGTCACACTGACACAGTGCAAGGAGTGCAACACCCATTCATCTCCATGTTAAAGCTGAGGGCTAAGGCTCAGAGAGGGCTGGCAGGTGGCCCAGGGTCACACAGCCGGGTGGTGGCAGAGCTGGATTGTAGCTCTGAGGCTTATTCTACTGCCCCTGGCTGCCACAGGGAAAATGTCCCACATTTGGCCAGCCTGTGCTTGCACTGGGGCCTTTCCAGCTGGTCCCACCACAGCAGGTAGCTCAGGGCTCTGTGTACAGAGCAGAGTGGGGGGCATTGCCTCTTGAACTCCAGCCAGGGTCCTCATCGCCTGTGGGATCAGCCAGGCCAGGCCAGCCCCGCCCCCACAGCACCCAGCTGGAGCAGAAGCTCACCTGACCCTCCCCCAGGCCACCTTACCTTAACTGTGCATGGAGACCCTCTCCAGCTACCTGGCTGGGACATCCCTCCCTGTCACCCCCGGAGCGCCCTGCACCCTGGAGCCTGCCCGTCGCACTAGATGTCAGGAAGTCTGCTAGGGGCAGGGACCGGGCCATCTCACTCATCTCTGCATTCCAGCCACCAGCCAGGAGGTACTCAGTAGGAGCTCAGTGGCTAGCTGTGTCCAGAATGAGCACATGACCCAGTGACCAAGGACGTACCAGGGATGTGCAGTCAGGGCGAGAGCCTTCTGGAAGGTTTTCCTTGGGCACCCTCAGTGGACACCCAGGAGACATCCTTGTCCTGCAGAGTCTCTGTGCCGCGGGGGGTGTCTTCAGGGAGGACAAAGGGCCCTCCCTTTCCTAGCCTGTCCTTACAGGGATCCCGGTGCCAGCCTCTCCTACTGGAGAGCAACTCGGAGGCACGGACCGAGCTGGTCCCATGGGTCCAGGAGCCTGGCAAAGAGGGCCCTTGTTAAAGGACTGGTTATTGGTCAGGTAATGCCTAGCTAGCTATTGTCTGGATTACCAGGTAGCATGGGGCTTCCTCCACCTGGGAGCTGCTTCCAGAGAGAGCTAGGGATGCCCGCACCAGCTCTGCTGCGCTTCTCAGGGGCTGGCCCCACCGAGAGGACTCTGACCCAGAGCTGACTCGGGGCTGACCTGGGGCTGACCAGGCCTGGCTGTTTCATGCCCCCCAAGTGGCTTGCACAAAATGAACAATACAGGAAAGTACAGTTCAGTCTTCCTGTCTCGCAGCCCAGTAGCAGCCAGCCTGGCTGGGAGAACTCTCTGGAAGAGGACCCGTGGCCCAGGCCCGTCCATTCACTGTGAGCCCCACCCTCAGTCTGTTCTCACTTGGGTGAGACAGAGGAGGCTCTGAAGGGCTGAAGGGTGAAATGTAGGACAAGCAGGGCATGGCCGGGGCCTGGATCCTGTCCCGGGACACAGAGGGCAGGCCCTGTGCACCAGCCCCGGGCATAGCACCAAGGGACAGCTGTTCTCAAGGGACAGTCTCGGCACCGGATGTCCCCGGGGTGTCAGCAGAGACACAGCCCAGGAAGCCAGGCCTGGCTGTGCAGCAACCCTCTCCTTCTTCCCTGTCTGGCAATCAGAGGACCTCCCATTTCTTGGGCCAGCAGCCATGGTCACAGCGGGCTGACCTTTGGGCTGAGAGCGGAGGGCGCTGCTGCTGGCAGGCCTGGCTGTCCCAACCTGTCTTTGAGTGGGCTGGCCATGGGTCTGAGTTCCCCCGGTCACTCTCGGGAAACGGGTCTGGAGGCTTCTCAGGTCCCTTCGGCAGGCTTTTGGGTGGAGATTTGGGGAGGGATCCCACTGAAAAATGTCGGGACCCTGCGGTCATTTCAAGATCAGGGATGCTGCCTGGCTCATCTCCAAGGCCTCGAGTAGCCCAGGGGCAGGGGCTTGGGAGCTCCATCAGCCACGCAAGACAATGGTGCCCCTGCCACTTACCGCGACCTGAGTCGTGTACGTGACAAACTGGGCATATCTGTCCTCTGCGAGCTCGCCCGTGCCTGTGAACCTATGACCACGCGCGACTAAAGGGACACGGAGCCTGATGGGACTAAGGAGAGCCTGAGCTGTGAGTCACTCTGGACGACGCGGATTGGGTTCCCTGGGATCTCGGGGTCCTGGTAAGGAGGGCAGGGGGCGATCAGGGCACAGGTAGTGACAGAAGTGAGGCCTCCAGACATGGGAGCAGAAATGGAGGAGTAGAGGAGCCCCCCCTGGAGCCTCCAGAGGGAGCACAGCCCCATCAGGGAGCACATCTGTGGTTCTTTAAGCCACTAAACATGTGGGCACTCAGTACAGCAGCCACAGGGACAAAGGCAGTCACCAGGTCCCTCCTGTGGTCTCCATGCTCTGCGTCCCTGGAGCTGGGAAGATGGCTTCCCTGAGCACTGGGCCTGGGGACAGGCCCCATCCTGCACATGCTCAGTGTGAGCATCCTGGGCCCCAGGCAGTGGGGGACCCCAGGACCCAGCCAAGGGGCGGCAACCATGGTCCCTGACAGGGAGGAGCAGGAGGACAGGGAGAAGGCCTGGTGGGCACTCTGGGCCCCAATCCCAGTGTTCTAGAATTTGGGCTAGAGTTCTAGGAATTGAGCCAAACTGGTGATAGGTGTCATCTGTGTGCCTGGGGAAGAGGATGGGCTTGGCCACCAGACACTGCTGGCGTCCCTTCCCAGGCTGGGGGGCCTCCTGTGCCCCCTGCTTCCTTCTGCACGGTCTGAGAGGGCACCGTGCTCAGGGAAGCAGACACAGGGGTGCTTAATCCAGGGTCCAGGGGCCATAGACCTGCCCTAGGGCTCCTCGCCCCTGCACTCCAGCTCCTGCCACACCTACACCCCGGGGCGGGGATCCCTGGGCCTCTAGCCCTCGGGGGACTCCTCCCCGTCTGCACCCCAGGCCCAAGTCTTGAGCAGCAGCCCCTTAAGGTCCGTGCCCACCAGCCCTAAAAGGGGGCTCTCCAGGCTGAGCAGGCCTCCTCTTGGTGGGCATCAAAACTGAACTAAACCAGAGCCCCATGTAGACACTCGGAGGACTCTGAACAAAGCAACTGGCACCACCCAAGAAACAAGGTCACAGGTGAAGGGCAGGGCCAGCCCTGGAGAGGAGAGCCCCAGCGGGGAGGTCCCCACCCTTGGGCCCAGCCTGGAGTCCACAGAAAGGGTTGAACAATGGCATGATGGTGCCACAGATGAGGGCAGGCCTGGGCCCCACAAAAGGAAGTGCCTCTCCTCCACAGAGTCCTCCTGCCCTGGCCCAGGGGCGCCCTGTGCTTGGGTCCCCATCACTGTCACATGACATGAACGTGTGCCCACCCCCTACCCCTCTGCCCAGAGCATATGGGGACAAGGCTCCATCACCTCTGGGCCCCAGGCCAGGAGCAGGGCCTGGCACAGCCAGATACTTGGTGACGTCGTGCTGAATGACTGAGGCTACCCGCAAGGGAGGCACGGGAAGCTTCCAAACCCACTGGAAGCAATTTCTAAGGGAAAGGGGAAAACGTCCCTCTGCTGGTTTCCTTCAGCGAAGGCTTACTGAGAGTTTGCCAGATGGGGTTGGGGCTCTCCCATCCTGTGGGGGCCGGTACGGAGAGGGTCTCCTCCACCAGCCAGCATCCCCTCAACCTTGCACTTGGTGCCCGTGTGTGGACTGTCTGGGGACTGCTTGGAGACCCGCTCATGTCCTTGCTGTCCCCAAACTTTTGTAGCCCTCATGCCCTCTAGACCCACGGAGAGGTGGGCGGGCCAGGACAGGGAGGCCCTGAGATGCCCCCGCCTTGGCCTGCACCATCCTCAGCACCCCCAGGCCTCATGCCACCTGACCCGTGGCACGGTGCGACCGGCCAGCGAGCCGTCAGGTGCAGGTGACCACACAATGGGCACCGAAGAAAGCACAGGAGCAAATTGTAAATTCCACCAACCTTGTTTTTGTCTTCAGTTCTGGCTGCTTGTCGGCACGCCGGGTGCCAGATGGAGGAGCCTGCGGACAGATCCCCGAGAGGGAGGGCTCAGTGTCACTTCCCATGATGCAGGGGCCGTGCAGGGAGTCAGCAGCGGGGGGCCGGCTGGAGTGCTGGAGTGGGTGCTGGGCCTGGGGCAAGCAGACCGCCGCCCGGCCCCAAGGGCTCACGGCCCGGTGTGGGGAGGCGGGGGTGTACAATGAACGGGAAGCACATCACTGTGAGCTATCTGCCCAGCTGGGGCACCCAGCGTGCCCAGAGGCTTCTCGGAAGAGGGGTGTCAAGTGCGTTCTTGTTCAAAGGGGCGGGGGGAGAGAGGATGGGCTGCCCGTGGATGTGGGGGCAGCAGCCAGGCCCAACCACGGGCATGGCCGGGGCTGGGGCTGGAGCTGGGGATGGGAATGAGGGCTGGGGGGTGAGAGCTCTTGGCTGGGAGGCAGGAGGGGGAACCCTGGTGGGGAAACCAGGGTGTGGGGTAAAGAGCAGCACCGGGGGCTGCTGGGGGCCAGTCATGAGGCTCTGGCATTCGGCCCATCCCTCTCTCTGACTCTCTGGGTCCTGAGCCCTATCCTGCCTCAGTTCCCTCAGCAGCCAGCACGGCCCCAGCACCCACGCTGACACCCATCTCCATCAAGGTAACGGGAACGCCACGCCCCTCCTTTTCCCAGTTCAAACTCAAATTCTCCAGGCGTTGGATTTTCCCCACCTGCCAACAGGGCTGATAATATTCCTCGCTCATTGGGCCCTCAGGAGAATTCAGGGCAGTTCATCTGGGGTAAGGACATAGCAGAACGGGCCTGCTGAACCGTGCCTTACGGGTTCACTGTCTCGCTGCACTATGTCTGGTGTGGGTGGGCTCGGTGCACGTCAGCCCTCCAGCCCTCCCTGCGCCCTGTCCTTCAGGGCCCGGAGCACCTGCTCTCCCACGGGGGCCTCCCTGGGATCCCAGCCTGGCCCCCTTGCCTCCAAGGCTCTGTGTCTAGGTTCACACCCCATCAAAAAGGGGGCTGAGTCTTCTCCACGCCTGCACCCCCCACCCTAAACAAGGCACACAGTGCCTGGCTCGTGAGAGGCACTGGAGACTGTGTGAAGGAAAGAGCGGCATCCTATTTCTTGCTTGCAAATCCTTCCCAGGAGGGGAATCTTTTATTGCCCCCACCTGGCAAAACATCTGCATCTCCTGGAGAGCCCGGAGAGACCACGGTTGAGGGGTGTGTGTGTGTATGTGTGTGTGTGCGTAAAACATTCCTCTTTACAACTATGATTACCAAAGGAATAGGTAAGTCATTGATATTCCTTATTAAAAATTAAAGACACACAACAAAGTATAAATCAGAAAATTAAAACCACCTATAACCTCCTAGCCACTCGGTTTGGGCTGCTTTCCAGCGTTTTTTTTTCAGAGAACGTGGATAATGTTGTATAAACACTGTTTTCTGTCCTACGATTTTTGTTTCAAGTGTCTGAAAGGTTTCCCCCACAGAAGTAAATATCAGAAGCATAACAGGGAGGGCCTTGGGACATCCCAGCACATGGAGAGGGGAGGGTTTATCTGTCCCTTGCCAGATGGTTGTGTTGTTTTATTTCTAAAGTCACATTGGAGATGGGGGGTTCCGTGGCACGCAAGTCCCAGCACAGCCCTCCTGTTCACTCAAAGACTTCCTGGAAATGGAGTTGTGTGGGCATTAAGGTTCTTGATCCATTCTGGCATTTTCCCAATTTTTGTTACACCAGCCAGGTAAAAAGCCCATTTCCTTGATTCCTCACAATGGGGCTGTGACCTTCCTTTTAATCCTCGTCAACCCAGTGGGGAAAAGCAGCATCTCATTATTCTTTTCATCTGGGTCTCCCTAATCATTCCTGAGCATCCACAGCCCCTCCCCTATATTTCCTGGCAAGGTGTGTCCCAGGGTTGGTGGTGCTGATGGTCATGGGGTGGGGGCTGGCTGCCTTGTTGTCCCCGAAGGCCGTGAGGCTCACTAGGGCCCCTGCTTTGCAGAGCTTTGACTGTATGGGATTCACCTGTCGACACATTCATGGAGCCCCAGTATCCAGGTGGACCAGGCAGAGGTTCCCAGGGTGAAGAGGCCCCAGCTGGTGTTCCACAGTGCGGGGTTGAAACCTCTGACCTGGGTCCACCACCTTGTCACACCGACTGGGAAACTTGAGGCTGGGAGAGGGGAAGGGACTGTCTTCCACATCCCACACAAAGTCATGGCAGGACCCGCTGCCCAGAGCCATGAAGAGCATCTTTATTCCCTGAGACTGGGTCCCTCTTGATGGCGAGCTTCTGTCCCTGTGCTACGGTCCCAGAGCCATTGTGCTGGGTGTCAGGAAGGCCTGAAAGCACTATTTACAGTGGGGACGATGCTGGAGGGGGCCCCCTCCTTCCCAGACATCCCAGCAGCAACAGGAGGCATGCAAAGGACCCCTTTCATGGGCTCTCAAGCAGAGACTCAAGGAACAAGAGGGGACACCGGGGACAAGGCCGGCCTAGCTGACATCACCTCACGAGGTTGGGCTCAGAAAGGCAGGCCTGTGTGATACACAGCTCCAAGATGACCAGCCCCTGAGGTCATGAAACAGCCCATGTGGGTCCCTCCCATCAGCCCAGCCCTGCTCAGCCTGCCTCTGAGACCAGTGGACACAGACGGACCATTGAATAGAAACAGTGGCTGAAGACGTGAGGTTTCCATATCCAACCCACCATCTTGGGGAGGGGCCAAGCAGCCCTGGGTCCCTCTCCATGTCCTGGCCATCACCGGTCCATGGCTCTGCCTCCCGCATGCTGCCACCGGGCTGGGTGGGGGGACCTCCCACCTAGTGAGTTGACACAGGCCACCCACCTGTTCCCACCTGGCACGCAGTAAGGGCCCGGGGCTGTTGCTGTCTTGCCCTAGAGGACTGGGTGGAGCGATTTTGTCCTTACCTTGAAGATACATCTCCTCGCCTTCCGCAAACATCCGGCCGCACCGGACGCATAGCGCACACAGCGGGTGGTAGTGTTTCTCTCCTGCCTGTGTAGACAACAAAACACAAGTATTTCTGCTGAAACCAAAGGGGCCATAGAAGCAGCCACTCTTGGCTGGTGGGCACGGTGTGCCCACATGTGGGGTTCTCAGGGGGTGCTGAGTGTATGCTATGTTCCGTACCCATTGGGGGGTTCAGGATGGCGCCCAAGAAAGCCTGGGTCCACCAGGTATGGAAGCAGGCCACATGCACCAGGGCCACCTGCGCCGGGGCCACGTCTGGGAGGAGAGACCCAGCTGCACTGCCCAATCTGCTGGGGAACAGGGGTGTCACCCAGATCCTCCGGCTCAGTGGTTGATGGCTCTCCCTCCCTCACGGGGCAGGGGGCCAGGTCCTGTCCGTCTCTGTACCCGGGGGTGGGGAAGGGGCTCAGCAAGGGAGAGCAGAGGGGAGGCCGAAGCTAACGTGATCTCCCAGGTGGAGGCACTGGAGGGGTGGGCTGTCTTGGGCCTCTGCGTGTGGCTCAGATTTCTCCATTCGCATTTACTGTTTTCATAATCCCTAGCGTCCATGAAATTAGGTGCAAAGTTTAATATGGGATACCACGCGAATTAGTTACATAGGCTGGTGTGGCGTAGACGACACAGATGAACTGCCCCACACTATCGTCTTGGACATCCCTCCACAGCAATATTGGCAGCCTTGGGCTCAGGTGGCGGCAGCCAGCTGCTGACCATGGTGCTGACACCACCTTTCACTTTCCCTGACATGGGACGATCCCATGATCACTTCCGGAATGTGGGTTAGTAATACCCCTTCCCCACATGAGCACGTGATGGGATAAAATGCGTACATGCACCTCACACTCCTCCCCTCACCAAAGAGCCATCGGTGACCACCTGCCCGAAGGTGACCCCTGCGAAGGAGAGGAGAAGCCCTGAACACGCCCTCCCCCGCGGGATGCACCCTGTGGCACGGCCCACCAACGCTTCCGGGTGAAGGGATTCTTGCTGGGGAGCGCAAGGACACTGCAGCCTCAGTCCTCCTGCCCGCTCTGGGGTCTTCTCCCCTTCCCTCTGCTGGGAGCATCTGACCCCGCTCCACCTGCCCGGGACCTCCATGTTCTTCATCGAAGCTCAAAGGCCGCTGCCTCCTGAAAGCCTCCCCGGTACACGTCCGTAGTCTGGGTTCCTGCTGGTTTCTTCTTCCCCACTAGACAGGGCGCCCCTTGGGGGCCAGCCCTAGCTGGGGCCCCGTTCAGGAACCGTTCATTGTGGGGACCTTTCTGGGCAGCAGGTCAGAGGGCAGCGCTGGCTCAGACGTGATGAGGGTGAAGCGGTCATTTCGGCAATATTAAACATGGCACCCTCTGACCTGTCCTCACGCCCACCTCACCCAGGCCCCTTTCTCACTGGTGGGGGACAACCCCCATGACCTTAAATAGTAGGAATTCTGTGAGGGCCACTTGGGGTAGAAAGTATGCCCTGGAGGGCAGACAGACCCTGGCGTCTCCATGGGGTGTCTACACCTGAGTAGGAGGAGAAAGAATACCATGGGGATGGTTTCTAAGACGACAGGTTGAAACTCCAACTGCACGGATGAGAATTAACAGAGTGGAGATGCAGCCCGAGGCTGCTGTGAGGGGCCGGCCCTGCGTCCACAGTCTTCTGCCATCAGGGAAGCACTCCTACCCAGACCTGGTGAACGCCCCCGGTCCCTCAAAATAACAGCAACTCCACCACCTTTTCCACAGCTCGAGCTGAGGCCCTTTCACACGCTACCTGGTCTTCACCCTCCAGAAGTCCTACGAACTACATTATCATCATTTTCCACACAGTGCACAGAGAGGTGGAGGCAGATGGGAAAGGTCACACAGCACAGAGCTGGTGGAGCATGACTGGAGCCCAAGGGCGTGGCCTTCCGTGGCCTTCCAGCCCCAAGCCAGGCGGTCCTGGCTCCAGGGTGCCGACCCCAGCCTCACATGCTCCCCCACCCAGGCCCTGGACAGTCCTGAGAACCTGAGAACCTCAGGAGGGAGGAAAGAGGCAGACACTGGAAGGCACAGATTCTATTCACACCAAGTGCAGAGCCAGGCCTACGGGTCTCCTTTACTTAGAGTCAGGGAGGCGGCCGCCCTGGGCGGGATCTCGGGGGCTGGGCACATTCTCCTTCTTGATCTGGGTGGATTGATGACTGAAATTAAGACCTAAAACTATAAATCTCTCAGGAGAAAACACAGGGATACATCCTCACCACCCCGGGTTTGGCGGTGAGTTCTTGGATTACCCACCAAAAGCATGAACAGCACCAACAAAAATAGGTATTTTTTCCCCCACAAAAATTAAACTAGTGTGCCTCTGAGGACGTGTTCAAGAAAGTGGAAAGACAGCCTGTGGAATGGGAGGAAACGCTTGAAATCCTAGACCCAGGAAGGGCTTAGCACTCAGAACATAGAACTATATATCTATTATATATATGAAGAGTTTATAGCTCAATAACTATAGAAAGTGGGCGAAGGACTCAAACAGACATTTATTCCCAAGAAGATACACAAGGGGTCAAGGACCACATACAGGATGCTGGACGTCCCTGTCCCACAGGAAGGGCAAGTCCAAGCCGCCACGAGATGCCACTCCATGCCCATTAGTGTGGCTATAATCAAAGCGAGAACCAAGGGACAGTGCGTGTTGGCGAGGATGTGGGGAGAGGAGGGCCCCGTGTACCTGCTGGGGGGACGTGGGTGTGGCTGCCAGCGCCTGGAAAGGAGACGCAGGGTTACCACTGGACCCAGCAGTTCCACTCCTGGGTGGGAACAAAATGGAGACAAGAGCCCAGCAAGACACAGGTTTGTACAACTTGGACGTGAGTGTCCAAGACAGCCATTTTCATGGTGGCTCCAGGGCAAATGGCCCCTGGGTGCGAGTGGGGAAAAAACTGTGGTTTGGCCACACAATGGAATATCTTTCAGCCTTAGGAAGGACTGGAGTCCTGGAACTTGTGGCCCCGAGATGTCCTAGGGGGACATCAGTGTCCTATAAGATGGGACACCAGAGCTCTGTCTCTGCCACATGATGGCCCAGGGAGAAGGTGGCCGTCTGCAGTGCGAGCAGTGGGCCCTCCCCAGGAACTGAAGGAGCCGGGCCGGCATCGGGATGGCGGACTTGCGGCCCCCAGCACAGAGAGGAACGCTGTCTGGGGTTTCAAAGCATGCAGTGCCCAGAATGGCTGCAGCAGCTCCGGCGGACTAAGACCTGCTACAGAGCCCAAAGTCAAAGCACCCTCACTCTTTGGACTGGGCCCCATGGTCACTCCCGTCCTCTCTCCTGGTGGTTGCAGTGACTGGATGTTCCACATCATCTGAAGGCTGCTGCAGCCCCTGCCCTTTCAGAGTCTCTCCTCCTCATTCCTGTGCACTATGGGCCTGGAGCGTCAGCACCAGCGTGTGGTCTGTGCAACCGCCCGGCCCCCAGCCAGGCAGATGGCCCAGCCCCGCGCCAGGTGGGTCTCAAGATGGCTCAGCTTTCTGAAGAATATTAAAAACTCATGAGCTTCTGCAGTGCGCGGTTTTAAAAAGATGTCTGTGCCTCTGACAAGTGGCTGTCATCTTTAATAAGACGGAACAAGGTTCATTAGGAATGCAGGAAGGCGGGCTCCAGGGGCCTACGGCAAGCGCTGTTCCTCATTCAGGACCAAGTCAGCGCAGAAAGACCAGATCACGTCCCACCACGGACACGCAGGGCACAGCCAGCACAGGGGATGTGGACAATGTCTCTAGGCTCCAGAAACTCACGGCCCCCACTTCCTCGGCCAGCAGTGGGCAGCACAGAGGGACACCCCCGGCACATGGGAGGAAGGCGTCTCATCATCCTGGGCCACTTCCGCTCCCTGGACAACAGGCTGTGCCCTCCCTCCCCCGCTGCTCTCTGCGTGCTCCCCTGGACACTGGCACCGCAGGAGCCCCCCACCGAGGCCACCGGCCCCTGGGGGCTCCTCATGTGCCTCCACTGGCCTGAATCAAGGCTTGAGCTTCCTTGTTGAATGGCCAGAACCGAACCCAGATCTGAAAAGACCTCATCGCCAGCGTGCGTCCAGATAACAAAATGCACCGTGAAGCCAACCAAAGCCTTGGGCAGGAGCGTCTGGCAACCGCACAGACTTCCCGGATCGGCTCCACAACCTAGGGCACCCCCAGGAGCTCCATCCCCCGCAGAAGAACAGCCCAGCTCCTCACCACGCAGGGCCCTGCACACGAATCCCTAGAGCCATCGGCAGCCCCTCCCCGAGCCCCTGTCCTCACCCCTGCCATTGTCCCCATCACTGACCCCACGTGTTCACTCGGCTTGGGGTCTCCGCCGTGTCACAGAGACCGTACCGTGTGCTCATCTGTGTACGTGTACACACGATCTAAAACAGTGATTTCTAAATGGTAACACGGCTTAGTCTGGGTGACAGCGTTCATTATGGATGAGCTTTCAGTTTATTTTATGACAAATAGGTGTTCCCTCTGAATATGTTTGTTGTTGTTTTTTTTTTTTTCAATAAACACATTCATCAAATTACAAAAAGAGAGGGAGCAGTGAGGCCTTGGGAAGTTGCCTTTGTTTCTGTCCTGAGGACATGCTTTTGTCTCTTTGGAATATATTTTTTCTCATTGATTTTTATCAATCATACCTACTTAGGAGGGTGAAAAGGAAGCACGCCAAAGGAAGACAGGAAAGCAAATAACCCAGGTCCTGTAGCCCCAGGGGATGGCTTATTTGAAATGAAGAAATGTTTAGGGGCTGCCTGCCCTGGGGTGGGACCTTGCCTGCGAGACGCCTGCCCCCGCACCAACCAGGTCTCCTGGGAATGGGTCAGGTGCAGGCAGGAAGCCCAGTAGCTGCCAGCCCGGAACAGGGGACAGTGAGTGATCAGAGGGTCTGTAGTTTGGTGGGGGGGTGTGGTTAAGAGAGAAGGGAAGGCAGGCAGGGGGAGGGAGAGAGGGAGGGAGGAATAAATAGTGGTCCAGGAGGGACCCTGGGCTTCTCATGGAGACAGCGGGCTGCTCCAGGCAGGTGGGGCTCAGACAGCAGCACCTCAAGGGTTAAGGAGGGCAGGGGCTGTGTGGGGAAGCACTCCAACTGGCAGAGAACAAGGGAGGGGTGGGGTGAAGGCCAGGATTGAGCAGGGACTCCCCCTCCTCCCCCTCACTCAACACCCCCTTATTAAAGTCGGGGTCCAGTTGGTCTGGTCACACCACTGTTCCTGGCAGACAATCCCATAGCCACCTTTCAGATCTCCTGTGGGGCGAGCCCACTGCCCCAGGCCCCCCACCTCTGCCCCCACACTCCCAGCCTTCGGTCTCCGCAATAGGGTCGGGGCGTACAGCCCCTCCCAAGTCCCCACCAGACCAAGAGGGCTCCCCTGCCTGCCCTCCAGCATGGAGCTGGCTCCCCAAGACAGACACCCCCGAGACACACAGGCTCAGCGAAGGCGCCGGGAAGATGATGCTACAGATTTAGGATAACTAAGGAAGGGGAGGAAGGGCTCCAGCATCGCGGCAAGATGCACATTTCACGGGCGGACAGGCCGGCGCTGCTGGCGCCCGGCATCAAGATGGCACTGTGCCCGCCACACACAGACGCAGCAGATTGATGGCTCCTGCTGGCAGGGAAGGGGGCCTGGGCTGCTCTCCTGCTCAGGCTCCGAGGAAAGAAAAGCTCTGAGTGGGACAAGCATCTGGTGAGGGACAGAGCAGGGTGGGGGGGGGGTGACAGCTGCCTCAGGGAGTCTGACCTGGAGAATCTGTCCCAGCTCCCTGCAAGCCCACCCACGTGCCACCCAGCATGGCTTCTGCAGCCTCCCCATCAGCCCTCTGAAGCGCCTGGCCAGGCTTCCTACCTGCACGGGGTCCTCGAAACAGAGCCCGATCCAATCGGCCAGCCCCCACGGCCCCTTTCCGGTGCCCGCTCCCTAGGCAGGTCGGCTGGAACGGGCAGTGTGACCGTGAAGACGGGCACCCTCTGCCTTCAGCCAGACATCTGGGTCCTGTTCCTTCTTTTTCAGATCCTGCCACCTACTGCCCCCCCGAGAGCCTGCTGCCTGCCCAGCAGGGCTCCAGCACGCTCTGGGCCAAGTTCAGGTGGTGGCGCGTCGGCGGCAATGGCTCCCCTTCTGCGGAGCCAGGCTCGTCTCTGCCCGCCCGCAGCTGCCGCCTCGCAAGGAGGATGCTCAGAGCTTTGCAAGAGCCCGCCGACTCAGCCACGCTGGGGAACTCGAAAACAAAAGCATTAATCTTCCCTGGGAGGCCCTACATCCCCCACCACTGACGAGGAGGAAAATCCAGACCTGTTTCTCTCCTGTTCTTCGTAATTAAGATGGTCCCTTCCTGAAGCTAAACCTGAGAGCACGTTGGTGGGCGCCGAACCCCCCCATTCTATATTTGGTCCAGCATTAAATATCAAGGACATACAGTGCACATGGAGTCACCCACAGAGGGGAGGCCTGCTGATGACCTGGTGACAATAAGGAAGCCGCCAGTCCCCAGTATTTACCACGGGACCAGCACTGAGCTGGGGACACTTCGGAGAGGATGTCTCATTGAGTCCCTGAGCTACTAGGATGTTCTCTCGCTCAGCACAGCGCTTGCTGAAGGCAGGCAGCAGGGCTGGGGTCGGGTCTCCACCCCCGCCCCCAGGGTGCAGTGGCCGATGCCTGAGAGTGCCCCAAAGCTGGCTGGGCTAGGTCCACACACCAGCAGTGCAACAGCTCAGCCCACCGGAGCCTGAAATGCTCCCCACTTTCTGCCGTCAGGTAGCACAGTGTGGCACAGTGCTCAAACAACACACAAACTGATGTCTACATGCGGGGAGAGGCTGCACGCCAGGAGGTGCTCTCACAGGTGCCAGGAGCCCGGGTAGCCCCAGTTCAAGTCTGGCTCTGCCACCTGCTTGGGGAGGCCGATGGCCCAGCGTACGTGTGCGGGAACCCAGGAGAGAGTAGAGGGTCTGGAATAGCCTTGTAGGGAATGCCAGTCTGAACGACTGGCAGTGGAGAGACGGGGCCGTGTCCCTAATACTTATAGGGCCACGGGTCCCGTAGGAAGGTCATAGTTTCCGTCCACATATTCAGAGGGCGTGGCTGTCAATATTACATCACCACCCAAGACCATACGTACAAGATGCCCGCTAACCCTTTGCCAACAGCTCCATCTTGTGACCTGTACCGGCAGATGGAGCTGCAGACCATGAAGACCCCACCCCTGTGAAGACCCCCACCCATGAGGACTCTTCCCCGTGAAGACCCTGCCCCTGTGAAGACCCCGCCCCCGTGTAGACTAACACAGGCGCTGTGGTCTGGGGGTGGGACGGGCTGTCAGAAGGACCCTCATCGAGGGATGTAAGGAAGTCACCAAAACAAGTGAGGACTGAGGTTCCCAGCCACAGACCCAGCCGCAGACACGCAGGGATTCCTAAAGACTACACTCCCACTGGGGGGGTGGGGGCACCACACGCTGCCGCTAAGAGTGGAAATTAGGGTCATCTTTCTGGAAAGCACTTCCTAACTGTCAAGACTCTTCAGAGGGTCCCAGTTGTTGACTGAGTGTCCGCATTTCGATGAAGAAATCTTAAGAAAAACTAGAAATGCCAAAAAAAAAATGTTCGTCTCTGTGCTGTTTATCGTAGTAAAAAACTAGAGAGCTGGGCTATGTCCGACGATAAACAATCAGCTTACTACATTCTAGAATAGTCCTGTGATGGAATCTAATGCCAGATGGACCCACGCCGACCCCCGGAGCGCCCTGGACACCCCACCCTGTGAGCTAGCCTGGCACAGAGGCCCGCACACTGACCCTGTTCACGTGCCCCGTGCAGAAGACGGAAGGCCGTGGAGACAGCAGGGAGATCCATGGGGCCGGGGTCTGAGGCAGTGGCAGCCAGGAAATTGGGTTCTTGTTGAGGTGATGGAAACACCCCCAAATGGAGATTCGCCGAGCACGCGTCTACGTGGATACCGACCACCGGCGCGCGATATGCGCTGAATGGTGTGGTCTACGAGCTATGTTCCCATGCAGCTTTTCAACAGAAAGGCCCACGGTACCCAAAACCCACCAGAAACAAAAACGTGGGGACCTGCTACTTAGGAAATGCAACTTGGACAGACTCAGAATATAATGTTGTATCAACAGTTTGGTCTCAACCAGAATTACACGGAGACAGGAAAAACTGGAAGGAAACCAGCCAAACAGCTACCTGTGCCCGCGTTATCCGTGATCTGCCCTCAACGTGTGCTGTGCACACTCTCTGCGGTCCAGGAGCATGTGGTGACACCCACCCTGAGGACCCTCGCGCTATGCACTGGCCTGAGGGGGTTCCCTTCCTGGGAATGAGGGGAGAGGCGGTACTGCCCTGTGGATGGGTCTGACACCCCCTTCCCTTTCCCCTTCCCACTCGGAAGGGAGTGAGAGGGAAAGTGGGTGGGGGTTGAGGCCCTATGACAAGTCTGTCCCTGTGGCTCAGAGGGACATCAAATGTACTTTCGAGACAAACAGCTCAGCGCTCAGTGTGCAATTCCGCCGTGGCACTGGGGATGTCGAATATGTGCCAGGCACCAGCTGTGGGGGCAGGAGGGGCAGGAACCCTTGGGACTCTCAAGGGGTACCCCCACGCGTCCCACTGTCCCCAGCCTCCAGCCTCTAGCCTCAGCATCAGCTCCACGCTATTTAAAATGCCAGTGTGACCCAGGCATTCTGAGGCTCAGAAGTCTTTGTCGGGGATGGCGGTGGGCGCCCGAAAGCCTCGTCCCCCCACCTATCCTCCCACCCCCAGAGGCCCATCTGTGACCTGGTGGGAAAGGGTCCCTAGCCCCTCAGCGGGCTCAGTGCACCTTCCTCATTCCCTCAGGTCCTCTGTGACCTGTGCCTTCTCTGGGAACATGGGCAGGCCCCAGCACAGAGCCAACGGGGGCTGAAGAATGGGGAGAGGGGCAGGCTGGGTGTGACAAGCAGGTCGGTGGGGTATGGTCATCTCAAGGGGTTTATCTTACTGAACAACTGTACCAAAGTGCACGCTACGTGTATTTTTCATAGAGACAGAACCTGGAAACTCCCACCAGGATCAAAAGACGATCTGTCGGCAACTCCCGGAAAGCCTGCCTACCCCATGACCACTGTGTGACTGGGGCTGCCAGGTGACCACTCAGGGTCTCCTGTGGGCACATGGTCTTGCCTCCTGGGCTCACTTCCACTCCTCCAGGCCTCAGACCCCCATCTAGACATGGGAGGGCTGGACCCAAGCTCTCAACCCCCCACCTCTCCAACTCCATCTGCTTGCAGAGGGCACGGGAGAGACAGCATCCAGGGAAGGCTTCCTGGAGGAGCTGGCCATCATGGAGCAGGCCTTGTAAGGCTGAGGAAGCTGCCCCCTGGCAGAGCTGAGAGGATGGGGGAGGCAAAGTCTCAGGGGCACAAATTCTTGCACAAACACACATGAACAGCAGATACCGTGAGAGGCAGGGGAGCAGGGCATGCCTCGGAGAGGGCACCCAGAGACCCACTCACCTCCAGCACATGCCCTGTGATATACTTCTCACAGCCGTCACAGCGGATGCCAAACTTGGTGTGGTAGTCAGCCTCGCAGTAGGGCAGCCCGTCCCTGCAATGAGACAGGCCGTCAGGGTTCGTAGGGGGCTCGCCCAGGGGCCCTGTTGGCTGAGTGAGGGCTGATGGCTGCCTCGAGAGGCTCAGCTGCAGGGATAAGGGCTGCATCTGGGAAACCGTAAATAGGCCATTTCTCACCAACCATGGGGCTCTTCCTTCCGGTTTACTCTGGGCCACGTTGGGCACGTGGGTGGGAAATGGCCTATTTACTCTCCAGGGGATGCTGAGTAAAAAGATTCCCTCTGAAAGGGGTCCGGGGCGCCTTCCAAAATCATGAGCCACTAAGCATGTGTGAACAAAGATGCCCATGCCAGGGACCACGTTTGAGGAGGACGCAATGTCACATGGCATAGGTGGTAGGTGGGACAGCACCTCTCTGTCCCCTGGGTGAGGCAGCAGAGGCGTCCAGCCATGTGGGAGGGGTCAGGAGGGCCACGGGTGACCTGTCCACTCTGCATGTGTATTTATGGCATGCCCACCACGTTTGTGGTGTGGGGAAGTGGTGACAGGTGACACACGGTTTTGGGTGCTGCTCCAAGGATCTGGGCAGCCTGGGGCGACTCACTTCAATGCTGAGCCTCCCCTGAAGGCACACTGAGGGAGGCAGCTGGTTTTCCGGGCTGCCGGTGGGAAGGTAGTGCGGGCACACGACCAGGCACAGCACCTAGCATGTGGTGGGAGCTGATTTGAAAGTGACTGGAATTAATTATTACAACAGGAAATGGCAGGAGGCTTTGTGGCAGCCAAGGGGAGGCCCGGAGATGGGGCCAAGGTTCCTGGCTTGTTGGCTGTGCTCCATGCGGGAGGTGCTGGTGGGCAGCTGTGACGTGAACAGGCTCACACAGGACCATGTCTCTGCTCTGTGCCCTGGGCAAGTCGCATAACCTCTCTGAGCCTCGCCTTCCCCAACCACAAAACGGGAGAAATTACAGTAAGTTCTAAAGACGAGAAGGTGTGGCCAGCGCCTAGCACACGGCAGGCACCTGCCAGTTGGTGGCCAAGGCCACTGTCATTATTAACGAGGCCTACCCCCCACCCCCGGCCAGGCTGGGCCTGGCTCAGCAGGAGTTGGGTGTGGAGGTCACTGGCAGAGAGGGGCACCTGCTGCCTGCACACATCTCCCTTCCCCCGAACAGAGGAAGTTGCCCCGTTACTCCAGGTTGGGTTTTTTATTTTTACGCAGCTGCCAACACAAGGTAAGAGTTCTTGACTTTTGGGAAACCAGAGCTAAGACCCCCCTCTGGACATTCTGTAGGACATAGAACAGGAAGGCTTCCTGGAGGAGGTGGCCTGTGGAGGAAGGGCAGTGGGGGTTTATGAGCTCCTGGGGCTGCGGTGGCTGCAGGGTAAGTCTCTGACCAGAGAGGAGGAAGCCCTTCCTTCCAGGAGATGAAGAGATAAATTGAGCCCTCAGGATCTCCTTTCAAATGCCACTGACCTCAGGGCCCCTGTTATCCCCACCATGGGTGTGTGCGCCCCAAACCCAGAAGGCTCAAAGGTAACATCTCCATAGCAACACCAACGCACCTCCCTGTCAATTCCAGGACCGCTCTGGAGGCTGCTGAGTGACAGGCAAGCCGTGTGGGTGAGCTACCTCAGTAGCGAGCACCCTGGAGGCTGGGCACGTTTATTTTATTTTATCTTAAAGCGCTCTGCCTCCTGGGGCTGCCTTCATGGGAGTCACTCCCCTCCTTTCCTTCACTACGACAGAGGAGAGGCCAGAGCCTTCCCCCGCCTGATCCAGCCCGGACAGAGTCTCATCTTGGCTTGGGGACTCTAACTGAGAATGTTTTGTTTTGAGATGAGTATGGACTCACCCAGGGTTGTAGGAGAGCAGACAGAGGGACCCCCCCAACACCGTCACCCCGTTTCCCCCGTGAGTGGCCTCGTGTACAGGGAGGGTACAAGAGCAATCAGGAGATGGAGGGGGCACACCGGTGACCTGACTGGATGCCCAGTGACATGTACTCATGCTGTACTGTGTCTGTGTGTATGAGTGTGTGCATGTGTGGATGTGTGTGAATGTACACATGTGCATGCATATGTGCATGCATGTGTACCTGTGTGTGGATGTGTGCGTGCATGTGTGAATGTGTGTATGCACCCGTGTGTGCGTATGTGCGTGTGTCTGAATGTGTGTGCATGCATATGTGGAGGCATGTGTGTGCATGCGTGAATGTGTGTGCATTGATGTGTGGATGTGTGTACACATGTGTGTGCATGTATGCATGTGTGCGTGCGTGTGCATGGATATGTGCATGCATGTGTGTGAATGCGTGTGCATGTGCACTTTGTGCATGCATGTGAGATGAATGTGTACATGCGGGTGTGTGCATGTGTGTGCATGTGCATGCATGTGTGTGAATGCATGTCCGCGCATGTGTGTGCATGTGTATATGCACCCATGTGTGCATGTGTGCGAATGTGTGTACGTGCATGTGTGTGCATGTGTGTGCGCACACACACGGGTTTCATTCTGTGTGGTTCTATCACACAGACAGTTCCTGGGCCAGTTCTGCTCCCTCAGGCATCGAGAACCCGCAGGCTCTCCCAAATGAGCTGCCCACAGAGCCCCCCAAATCGCAGAAAGGAGCCTGCTCTGCACCTTTCAGCTGTCTCCCTAACTCTGGGCCAGAGGGGCTTCCCTGACATAGTCCCCAATGCCAGGGGCTGAAACGCACCCCTTCCTGGCAAACCAGCTGCTTCTGCTCGGGGCTAAGATCTCCCAGAGGCTCCATCTGCACAGCTTTCGGATAAGATGTGCCCTCCAACCCATCACGGCATCCTGGCCACACGTCTGGGGTCTGGGATATGGGGTCGGCCAGGAGCAGCAGCCAGATGGCCAGGCACTGCAGAAGTTGGAGCTGGAGCTGAGTTCTCCATCAGCTCTGTGACAGCTGTGGTGGCTCAGCCCTCTTCCCCTCACTCCCGCTGCTGGAGTCAGCTGGCCTCCACCGTGCAAGCTACAGGTGACCCAGGGGCCTCATGAGGGTGACCCCTGGGGACAGGCAAGGGGACGCATTTACAAAGGCAGAGAGCAGGGCACGGTCTCTGTTTTGATCCACAGAATTGGAGCTGAGGTTTTTGCAGACCACACTGAGGAAGCCAGGCTGCTAGGAAGAGATGCCAGGTAGGGGGACAAACACATAGGGCCTGACAGGACAGGAGCGACCACAGGAGGGACGTGGGAGGAGCCCGCCACTCACTTGCTAATGTACTCTGCATCCAACTGCTTCCCGCACGTCTCACACTTAAAACAGCCCAAATGCCAGTGTTTCTCCAAAGCCACCAGGGACTGGCCATTTTTTATTTCTGTGCCGCAGCCTCCACAACCTGAAAGAACAGGACACAGACATCATCACTATGGGCCAGAGGCATGTGGGACCAGACCACTGGATTACCAGAGGCAAAAGTGCCTAGAGCCAACCTGTGGGAGGGGACAGAGGGGACAGAGGGGACAGTACAGCTGTGTGTGCTGGAAGAACCCTGCGACCTACCAGCCGGTGTGAACATGTAGAAAACCAATCACAAAGTTCACCCCTGCATGCATTGAGCTCGGACTGCATGCAGCCTGGGCTGGGAGCTGACAGAGGCCATGATGGCCTGGGGCTGGGTGCCCACCCCCCACAGCAGGTGTGCCCTCGAACAATAGTGCACTGCAGGGTGGGGGCTGCTTGGAGGGGAGGCAGCAGGTCTCGGGGGGCCCCATCTATCATCTTCGGTTGACAAGGAGAATGTGAACCTAAGAGACCTGGCCAACGTGCCGCCCCAAGGAGTTGTGCCCCCGGCCACTCCTTCCCCTGGGCGCTCCCCTGCCAGGAGGCCCCTCCCAGGAAGCCCTCCCGGCCCACCCGTCTGGACCTCCTTCCATGGCCATCTGTGCCGCATCCCAGACACAGAAAGACCGCCCAGTACCCCACCCGTGTTCCTGCTCCTAGTCAGCCCAAGTCTGAGCCAAGCCCCAGGAGGGCAGCCTCGGGGATTCCTCCCTTGGCAAACTGCCCTCGGGTGATGCGTGCTTCTCATCCCACAGTCCCCACCTGGGCTGGATCCCCACACCTCCTCTCTCCCTCCCAGTGTGCCCGTCCCTACTCGATGGCTCCGGGGTCCCAGGGCCTCCGGGTCCTGATCCAGCCCAGCCGCCTCCAGGCCTTCCAGCTGTGGGTGGCCACACCAAGGCCCCCAGCACTCTTTGGGTCACAGTGAGCCAAGCAGCTCTGTCCTCTGTGGGCCCCCGGTTCCTCACAGGTGGGGTGGAGCGGTCCCATTAAATGACAAAAGGCAAAGACCACACTCACCACGCCTGCACAAAGAGGTGCCTCCTGCCAGGACAGAAGGGGACGGGACACGGGCAGGGTGCCTAGCAGGGGCTCCACAGATGCCCTTCGGACCCCTGCTCCTGCCCTTCTCCTCAGCAGACAGGGTATCATTGGCTTTAAGAAGAGAAAATATTTTATGCCCACAAAACTGTTGGTCAAGCTCTGGCTTTCCTAAGTTACCACACTGTTCAAATCCACGTGCAACACCCGACGCTTGGACCCGAGCTCCGAGATCCAGGGCCACGAGGGACAAGAGTGGTTTGTTCATCTGGGGACCCTGGGGGCCCAGCATGGGCTGGCAGCTCAACCTTGCCAAGTGGACACACTCGTGAATGAGTGAATGAATGAATGGGGACCAAGAGAATGTCCTCCCCTCTCAAGCTCAGGAGGCATTCAAACCCCATCCCCAGCCCACTCCCTCCCTCAGTCCCCCAGCAGCACAGGGACAATGCAACGTGCAACTCACACCTCGCAAAGTGCCCGTTGTGGATTTGAGCAGTCTGGCTTTGAGCGCAGGCTTGCTCTATAAGCTCCAGGTCACTGCCTCGAAACAGAAACCGAGGATGACTGTGCTCCCCAGGGGACCCTTGGAAATGTCTGGAGACACTTTGGATGGCCACAGCTGGAGGGGGCAAACTCCAGGCACCTGGAGGCTGAGGCCAGAGATGCTGCTCACTGTCCTCCAGCGGAAGGGACAGTCCCACGGCGAGAATCATATGGGCCCAGTCAGCAGTGCCCAAGTGGAGAAACCCAGCTCGGAGCCTTAGCGTGCTTCTCCGGAAACGCATAGAGCAAAGGAGCACGCCACCCCTCATCGTGCCTGGGGTGGCGGGGCGGCAGGGTGAGGAGCAGTTAGAAATGTGGCCCTTGGAGCCAGGATGCCCTTCCCAGCTGTGTGACTGTGGGCAAGTCATGCAAGTCTCTGTGCTCAGCACAGTGGGGATGCATTTTATGGGGGTAGCGAAGATCTAGGCTCGCATACTTGTTACGCGGCTGAGGACAGCTAACAGCTCTAGGCCCACGGGGGTGTCTGACAACCAACTCCATGCACACAGGGCCGAATGCTGGGACTCGTGCTGCTGTTGTCATGACGGGAAGACAACGGTGGCCCGATGTCCCGCGGTCACCATCTGAGGATGCCTCCGACAACACACTCTGCCTCCTGCCCCAGGGGAGGGCCCAGAGGATCTAGGTCAGCGTGCCAGCTGCGGCTGCAGGGGGACGCGGACCGGACACCAGCCTCAGCCCCTCACTCATCCCGGCAACCTCAGGAAGAGCCTCAGAACCGCAAGCCCTGACCTCCGAGATAGAGCAACGTGCTCGAAGGACCGTTGTCACGGAAACAGCAATCCTCACTTTCCAAACACAACTGGAGCTCAGTATGGCTTTGCAGGGCTTTGCAAATGACAGCACAGGATCTGGTGATGAGTCATCAGCAGAGGGGATGTCCTCGAGGGAGTGTGTCCCCACTGCTGAGGGCAGAGGTTGCCGGGAAGGCCGCCCACTCACCCACACACCATAGACTAGCTCATCACGGCAACGGCAATGAGCCCCAGCTGTGAACTGAGAGGGTCAGGCCCACTGTCGCTCCTGCCCTCCAGGTCAAACCAGGTCGGAAAGCAGGAAGGGCTCCGAGTTGAATCCGAGCTTGACTTCAGAAGGCATGGAGCCCACTGACGTCTAAAACGTGCAAATGCTGACATGTTATGAGCACGACCTGTCATTTCTCTGAAAGCCCCAAACAGGGGAAAAGTGGGAGCAGCTGCTGGGAGAGAGAAAGCGCGTTCAAGTGCACCCCACGCACAGGGGCTCAGAGCTAAACCGGTGACACCCACCCCTGACTGCTGCTCAAGGGCGTGAGGTGCGTGGCTGGAAGGCGGCCAGGAGTGGGTGTTGGCTGCTGGGGGCTGCAGCACTCCACAAGGCAGGTGCACCCCAATAGCAGTCATGGTACCCCACAAGGCATATAGCTCACAGCCTCGCTGCCCTGTCTCCCAGGCAGGAGTGGGCCAGCCAGGGGATTGGGAAGCCTCTCTCAGGGAAGAAGACGCAGAAGCTCCAAGGGCCACAGACCAGATGGTCTCAGAGGGAAGGGCTGTGGACCCTCGGCCTCGCCCCACTTCTTCCTGACTCTGGAGGGGCCTCCAGGGGCCCCAGCTCCAGTATGACCCCAGCTCTGGGTGTGAATCCATCAATGCCCTGGTTGGGCTGAGCCCCAGCCGGTGAAGCACGGACCCAGCGTGGGTGCAGAACGGGGGGCCAAGCCCAAGAACAGGCCCCAGGGCCCCTTGGCTCAGACAAAGCTGCTCCCCACTCTGGGCCCCCAATGCCTCACCGCCTGCCCACCCTGCCCCAGACCCCTGCCCACACATACTTCTGATCCCGTGCCCAGTCCCAAGGCCCAGAGAGGGGACACAGCTTGCCCGGGGCAAGCAGGGGTGAGTGGGAGGGTTTGCCTGGGGCAGCCAGGCCCACAGCTGTCCCTGACATTACGGTGCCAGGCCCTTGGGAGGGCTGCCCTGTGGCAGTGAGACCAGCAACCTGTTCAGAGCTGGAGCCCGGAGGAAGAGGAGCAACAAGCCCTCCTGGGGAGGAGACCCTCCTCCAGTGCGGGAGGCGGCCCAGGGCAGCCGCTCTTGTGCAAGCCTCAGAAGGAGGGGTGTGCTTCTCCAGGGATGGAATGGCGTGGGCGTCCAATGCCAAGTGCTTATCCTGTTTCTAAGCAACAGACTCAGGGCCAGAGAGCAGAAGAGGGACTCCGAGGGATGCTCAGAGCCCAGAACTTCAGATGGACTCCTACCGTTATAGCTGCCCCGGGGAAAGGCAGCTTTCACCCTTTCACCCCACTGCGGGGGGCCACAGCACCTCCCCCAGCCCTGCAACCTGCAGGCAAACCACACTGCTCAGGCTCCTCCCGGCACCCCTCACTCAACAGCCCTCTATGGCTCCTCGCTGCCTCTGGGACATGCTTGGGACTCTTGGCCTGGGTCTGCCCTCTGGTTTCCATCTCTCCTGTTTCCTTCTGTTCCCTATCCCCATGCAGCAGCCCCCCTTGTCCACTCAGAGGGTCTGAGGGTGGCCCACGGCACCTCCCATTTTCTTCCTGTTCTGTAGAGCCTTCTCTTCAGCGCCCACCTACCTGAACCCTTGTGTCAAGCTTCAGAAACAAGGCCACCTCCTTCGAAAGTATCTGTCACAGCAAGGTAAGCTCCCAGGCTTCAGAGTCTGAAGGCCTTGGCTCAAGCCTCAGGGGCACCATTCCCTAGCTGGGTGCCTGGCACTCACCCGCCTCCCCACCAGACTCCGGGCACTTCTGCGTCTGTAGAAGGAGAGGAGGCTTCCTGCATGGCACAGCTGCTCTGGGCACAAAAGGAAGCAGGAACTCGGAAGATTTTGCAAACGTCCACGCAGGAACCAAGAGCTGGTGATGAATGTTTAACACTTTCTAGGCACAAAGGAGGTGCTAAGCTGAAGAGTGTCACTGAACTGGAAGAGGGGACAGGTCACATTATTAGACCATCTGAGGGTCAGGAGAGCATTTGTTCTCTGGAAAGGTAAATTTGATATTTTAAAATAAATTTACATTTGGAAAGGGCAGAGCCTTTTAAAACTCTCACCAAATTCTCATTGAGTCCGGGTTTGGGCATATTTCCCTTTTTACTCTGGCTGCCAGGGAGCTCTGGACAAACTGAACTAATCTTGCCCCCTTTTTCAATTTTGCTTATTCGAGTTTTTTTATTACTATTTCAGATTTCATTCTAACAGTATCAATTGTGAAGCAAATTCTCAGAAGTTCAGGCAATCCTGTCCTCCACAAGAAAGTTTTGAATGGAGGAGTCTGCGAGCAAGCCCCACATCCACAGCCTCACCAGCCGGAACTGCTGTTTGCTGGCCTCTCCAGGGGATGAAGGCTTTGCCTCCTTTCACTACTACCAGACCCCTCGGTCAGCCCTGAGCTTCTGGAAGCCTGCAGGGGCAATCTCCTTTGTTGAGAGGCACTCGAGCCCAGCACTGGGGTGCCACTGTGACTACGGCATACAGGGCGGGCGCTGAAACTCCCTTCCTGTCCGGGGAGCATGGCAGCAGCAGGCCTTGGAGCACTGAGCCCCTTTTCCTTCCCCACATCCCCCATCTGGCCCAGAAGAGCCGTGGAAGCCATGGAAGGCGGCTCCTGCCTGCCCCACGTTGTTCTCGCACTGCCCTGCACCCTCAAGGACACTCCAGCCCACATTTGTTCCGTGACAGTCTGCTACTGCTTCCAACAAGCATCTTTTGAATACCCATGGCATACAAACCTGGGCCTTGCTCCTGGGGCATGGAGCAGTAAACCCAGAAACTCTCGACCTCAGGCGCCCAGAGTTCAGTGTTCTCCCAATGACTCCCCCAAAGTGTTTCTGAAGGGTCTAGAATTACCTGTGGAGCTGAACGTGTGTGTGTGTGTGTGTGTGTGTGTGTGTGTGTGTGTGTGTGTGCAGGGGAGAACCAGAGGAAGCCAGGAGGCTTCCTGGAGGAGGCAGGCTGGAGGGCACAGACTCCCAGAGAATTCTGTCCCTGGTTCCCTCCCTGTGTCTGTCTGTCAACAGTCACCGTTCACTCCCACTGCTTCTGCTTCGGGTCCAGGTGGTCAGGTCCCTCCCACTTTCCCTTCACCCCAGCCCCTCTGCACCCACTTACTCCAGAGGCCCTGGGACAGGTGCGCACTGCTGCCTGCTGTCTTGGGCAGGGAGCACTTCTGACACATGCATTCCTTCCCGTTGAAGGTCACTCGATCCCCCGGCGGAAAGGGCAACCTGAAACAAGAGAGCACGTGACCAGCCAGGATTGCCTCCTGCTCTTCTCCTGGGTGGGGGCGGGGGGGCAAGACTCCCCCCCATATAGCACCACCTGCCCGGGGCCTCAAGGAGACAGCACCTCAGGCTGAGGACACAGGACCTCCCCATCTAGGCACCCCTGCATTCCTGCCGTGTGAGCCCTGGCTCATACCCAATGCCCTAGCTTTGGTTGGTCCTCTTCTGCACAAACAGGCAGGATGGCGGAGCCCTGGGTAAGGAAGAGCGAGGGCCAGCCTGGTGCTTGGCACATGGCAACGGACCAGGCAGCCTCAACCACCCCCTCCTCCATTCACCCCTGCCTCCTCTGACCACCCAGGATGCTTTGTTCATATCAGTTCAGCAACAATGGCACCTGCCAGCATTTATTGAGCACCTACTGTGTGCCAGGTGCCACGAATTACAGTAGCTACCCCACATGCGTGCCTCATGTAATAACTCCAGGACATTTGTCCAAGCTGAAATTTCCTTCATTTTTTTCTCTGCAGGTGAGAAAACTGAAGTTCAGGGAGGGTAGTTAACTTTTCCAAGGACAGACAACTGATGCATGTCAGAACCAGAGTCAAACCTAGACCTGTTCAGGCTCCAAAGCCCCCTGATTTATGTACCCACTTGGACCTCGAAGAAGTCAGTGCCTTGTACAAGCAGGCCTTGTAGACACAAAGGTATCACATATTCTCTCCCTTCTCTATTTAAGCTCAGCATTTTGCTTATCATGAATGTTTTTGCATTAATTTTTAATTTTTTAAAATATCATGTACCTTGATTGCTGATATTTTTGGGCATCACTGAAATCCCGCATCCAGACTGAGTCCCAGCCCTGGTGCAGGCTGGGTAGAGGCAGCAGAGAGCCACCTTGCGTCCCTGCACCAAGAACGTCCCCTCTGGTGCCTGAGAGGTGGCTGCTCTCCAGCAAGGGAGGGACAGGCCACCTGTAGGCAGGGCTGGAAGATCTATTTCGGTGTCCTGCCCGTGTCCATCCTGGCCACCTGCTGCCACTGAGCTCCTGGCTGCCCCGGGGCCACTTTCCTTCCCCAGCAGAGCCTGGCCAGAGAAGAGCTCTGGGGCAGTAGCCTGCAAGATTCTCTGCACCAGGACATGCCCTTTGCTCGGGTTAAACCTTCGGGTCTGCCCTCTGCCTTCTCGGGGCTGGACAATTCCGTGGAGCATCTGGGTGCTCAGTACGTACTTGCTAATGGGTGAATGAGTGAGTGAGTGAGTGAATGACTAAAGGACTCTAGGGGGCCTGACTCAGAGCCCCCTCTTACCTGGCCTTCCCATGCAGCCTGCCCAGTCACACCAGCCCCAGGCCAGTCCCAAGCCGGCAGCGTCCCTCCCCGCAACAGAGCCTGCCCTAGCCCTTGCCTTGCATGGCTGGTGTTCATCCAGCAGGTGTGTTCTGGGGCCCCAGGGGCCAGTTCCTGGTCTTGTGGACCCAGGACACGTACAGGATGAGCTGATCCCCCTCCCCAGGCTTGGGAGACGATCCCGAGGACCTGGCTCCTCAGGGCCCAGAGCCTTTGCAGCTGTTGTCACCTGCCGTCAACATTGTGCCCTGCTGCTCTCTCCTAGAGTGCTGCTGCTGGCTGGGTAGTGCCGGGTGTTGGGTGTTGGGCTAGACTGAGCATGTGCTCTGATAGGGTCTCTGGCTGTGTAACCAAGAGTAAGTTCCTTACCCTGTCTGAGTCCTGTTTCTCACCTGTAAAGTGGGACTTAAAATAACTATCTCATGGGGTTGTTATTCAATCCTCCCTTCCCTCCCTTCATCCATCTATCCATCCATCCATCCATCCATCCATCCATCCATCCTTCCATATCCATCTATCCATCTGTCCATTTCCCTTCCATCCATCCATCCATCCATTGGACAAACTGCATTGAAAGCTCTAGCATACTACCTGGGACCAGATGGGGCTGAATAAATGATAGCTATTATTTTATTAGTTCAACTTTATTGAAATACACTTTGACAAATGCACCCATTCATGTTATCAACACCACGGTCATGATATGGGACATTCTGTCCATTGCAAAAAGTCCCTGTGACTCTATAGTCATCCCCACCACCACCCGTGGCCCCAGGCAACCATGAAGGGCATTCTGCTGCTGTGGATTGGAAATGTCTTTCCCAGAATTGCAGCTGCAGGCACATGGAATCACACAGTACATAGGCTTCAATGTCTGGTTCAGCGCCCTGCCCCTGACATTCACTCCCGTGGCTGTGTACATCCGTAGCTTGTCCCTTGTCATTGTGGAGTGGTGCTCCACTGGCCAGATGAGGGACAACATGATTCCATTCATTGCTGAAAGGCATCTGGGTTCTTTCCAGTTTGGGGCTGTTACAAATAAAACTGATAAGAACATTTGGTGACAAGTCTGTCCGTGGACATGTGCTTCCACTTCTCTTGGGTACATACCTAGGAGTGGAATCACTGGGTCACAGGCTAACTCTCTGTTTATAACAAACTGCCAAACTGATTTCCAGACAGGTTGTACCACTTTGCAGTCACCCTGGCAATAGATGAGCATTCCTTCAGCTTCATATCTTCGTCAACGCCTACCTTTTTAGCTTTAGCCATTCTGGTGGCTAGATGATGGTGTTCCACCATTTTAATCTACTCTGTTGCATGTGCTTATGGTTATTTGCATTGATTCTTCTGTGGAGTGTCTGTTAAACTCTTCTGCCCATTTTTAATAAGGTTTCTGTTTATCTTCTTATTGATGACTTACAGAAATTCTTTATATATTTTGGATGCAGTCCCTCATCAGACATATTTTATCTACCAGTTGATGGCTTGCTTCTGTACTTTACCAACATCTTTTGACATCATTTTTCTTCTTCTAACTCTACTGTCACTTAGGTGTGCTGGCAACAAGTTCTCTTAGCTTTTATGTGTCTACAGAAGTCTTTATTTTGCCTTCATCTTTTTTTACAGGGCAGACACATTTATTCATGTTATTTTAATCACATACATCTTGGAGATACTTCAGTATCAGTTCCAGACCACTTCAATAAAGCAAATATTGCAATAAAGCAAGTCAATTGTATCTTCTGATTTCCCAGTGCAGAGAAAAGTGATGTTTACACTGTAGTCTATTAAAGGTGAAATAGCAATAAGTCTAAAAACAAAAGTACAGACCTTAATAAAAAGTACTTTATTGTGAAAAAATACACTAGCCATCATCTGAACTTTCAGCAAGTCATAATCACTGATCACAGACCAGCATGAAAAATATAATCATACAAAAGTTTGGCATTTTGTGAGAGTTACCAAGAGGTGACACAGTGACATGAAGTGAGCAAATACTGTCAGAAAATGGCACTGACACACTTGCTCAATGCAAGGTGGCCATGAACCTTCAGCTGGTAAAAAATGCAGTATCTGCAAAGTTCAATGTGCCTGTACATAACGTTCATACCATTCAGTGTGTGTGATTCAACAGTTTCTAGTGTATTCAGACTCACACATGTGTCCCCATGATCAGTTTGAGGACTTTTTCATCACCCTAACAAAGCAACCCCATACTCTTTAGTGGTCTTGACTTCATTTATTGAAAGTCTTTCTTTTTTCCCCTTCCTTCCTTAATTCCTTTCTCTCTCTCTCTCTCTCTCTTTCTTTCTTTTCCATGGTATGGAAATTGTGTGATTTTTTTTTCCTTATAACTCTTTAAAGATGCTATTCCATTGTCTCCTGGGGTTGCATAGTTTAGATAAAAAGTCTGCAGTCATTCTTTCATTCCACTGTATATCATGTGGGTCTTTTCTCTTCCGTGTTAGATTTCTTCTTATTATTTTTCAAAAATTTGGTTATGATGGACTTAGTATGTTTCTGTCATGTTTTTCTGCTTGGGGTTTATCAAGATTCCTGGATCCATGCATGGGCTTATAGTTTTCAAGATTGGAAAATTTTCAACCATTATCTCTTCAATTATTTGATCTTCCCCCACCTCCAGGGTTTCCCCCTCTCAGCCCAGACAGACAGAAAGATTCTTTATACACAGATCCCTGAATCTTTCTTCATGTATTCCAGTCTTTTCCGTCTCTTTGCTTTAGTCTGTATAGTTTCTGTTCTTATGTCTTCAGGTTCACCAAGCCTTTCCTCCTCAATACCTAATCTATTGCTAATTCCTTTGAAGGGATCTGTCATCTCAGAAATTGCCTTTTTCATTTTCAGAATTTCCACTTGGCTTCTTTTTATTCCTTCCATATGACTTCTCTTACATTCACATTCTCCTTTAAATACCTAAGCATATTTTCAATACTGTTTCAAAGCCACCATCTGCTGGTTTCACATCCTTCTCATTTCTGGATCCCACAGCTATTGGGTTTTTTCTTCTGGTTTTTGGGTCTCAATGCCCAGCTTCTATGGCTAGTAAGACCTGAGTGGATGTTGGGTGCTGCCAATGCTATGTTGCTCAGGGCTGGATTTCCCGTCTTCCTATGAAGAGTGGTGGAAGGCAGTTAGCCTGTTTGCAGATCAGTGCAAACCTTTGGAGGTTTATTCTGTCCTTCATTTCAGTAGGTGCTTGTAGCCTTTGCTCTTGGGCTATTTTACTCCCACTAATAATGCACAACTTAGCATCCCCACTGCATACCTGGGTCACATCTTGAATGTCTCCCAGCCCTGGGAACCATTCAACTTACAGCAATCTGGCCATTCTTTGTCCACCTTGTGAAATGTCCTCTATGCCTACATGGCTTTGTGTTCAGTGATGTCTCAAAGGTGCCCCTACGTTGTTTTCTACACTTGCTCTGTGTGGCTCCCTCCCCCTGGCACACAGTCCCTGCTGCTCTTATCACTGCCTCCTGACCCAGCCTCCTCTCCTGGTAGTGCCACTCCAGGAACTGTCACCAGGCAAGAAGCTGGGTGGTTGCAGGGTCCATTGTCTTTGTGGTCCTGCTCTTTGTCCCACACAGACTGTGCCCCAATGCCCCCAAACAATTAATTCATGTAGAGTATTGCAATTGTGTACAGAGGGTGTAAGTCTGGCCCAGTTACTCCAGTGTGACAGAGCTCTCTGTTGTTATTTTAAAAATGGAAGATTATCCAGAGGTGATCTTTCAAACTTATTCTGATTATGTCCCCTTGTCTCTAAGCTGTGTGCACAGCAATCAAACATTGGATTGTCCTTGTGGGAACTCTGAGACCCACACATGCTGCAACAGCACAGTGACTCTCATTAGAGATATTCCCTGTCATTGTTCCCTCCCTTCTGCATCCCTCTGATGAAAACATACACTTCTACCCAGCACACAAGCCCTAACCACAAACAACAGCTTTGGCAACAACACTCAAAAAGTCCCCCTTGAAACTGGGTGTGGTGAGACCGAGAAAACAGAGCAGAAGATAAACTCGGGGTTCTTTTTACTCTTTGCATCTTTGACATAGAACTTCTTCCTGGGAGCAGTGTGTCTAGGGCAGGGAGTGGGGTGCAGGAGGTTTGCTCACATGGGAAAGCTGCTTCTGGGCTCTCTCCTAAGTCCCCAGAGGTGCAGGGTGGAGCAGGGAGCTGGCTGAGGCCCTGCTGGGAGGGTCAGGCTCTTTCTAACTGCAGCAACCCTCCACCTCCTCCCTGCTTTGGGCCTTTCTCATGGATTCTAGGGGGCAGTAGGGAGGAGAGACAAAGAGAGGGGAGGTAGGGACCCCAGGGCAGAGGTCGTGGCAGGACCCCAAGTAGGCACACTTTAAGACCTGCATAGGGGTGGTGGCTGGGAAGATTCTAAAAAGAGAGGGACCCTTCCCCAAATCTGGAAGATACCCATGCTTAGGGGCCATGCACCCAGTGGGTGGGTGAGGGTCCACCCACAGATCAAGGACATGGGAGCAGCTGAGGGGTGGTGGTGGGTGGGCAAGGATCGGATGAAGTGTGGACCCCACAGGCACCAATGTGAGAGAAGAAACACATGGAGGATGCTGGGAGGAGAGGAGCTCAGCAAGGGGGCCAAGGAGACTGGGGAGGGAGCTCCTTCACCGAAGCCCAAGGAGGCCCCACATTGGCAGCCTCCGAACCTGCCTCTGTGCCACCACCACCACCACACCCAGGAAGGAGGGCCTGGTCCTTCCCTTCTGGCAAAGGGTGGAGGCCTGCATGTTCTGGGGTTGGACAAAGGTATGTCTTGGTGTATAGCCATCCTGTGTCCACCTGCCACCCCGGGGTTGTGCCCTGCCTCCCCTCCCAGCTGTGGCCCAGCAGGAGGGAGGAGGGATGGAAGGAGGGAAGGAGAAAAGGAAGGAGGAAGATGGAGTGAGGAGGGAGGAGGCAGGAGGATGGGGGGAGGAGGGGGAGGAGAAGGGAGAGAGGAGGCAGAAGAACAGAGGGAGGAGAAGGGAGAGAGGAGAATGGAGAAAGGGGGGAAGGAGGGAAAATGGAGGGTGAGAAGGAGAGAGGAGGCAGGAGGACAGAGGGAGGAGAAGGGAGGGAGGGAGGGAAGGAGGGAAAATGGTGGGAGAGAAGGAGAGAGGAGGCAGGAGGACAGAGGGAGGGAAGGAGAGAGGAGGCAGGAGGACAGAGGGAGGGAAGGAGGAGGAGGGAGGAGGGAAAGGGGATGAGAATGGAGGGAGGGAGGAGGATGGAGAGAGGAGAGAAGGAGGGAGGAGGACAGAGGGAGGAGGGAGGAGGGAGAGGGGAACAGGAGGGAAGGAAGGAGGGAGGAGGGTGAGGGAAGGTGGTTGGAGGGAGGGAGGAGGACAAAGAACGGAGGGAGGAGAGAGGAGGGAAGGGGAGAGGAGGGAGGAGGACAGAGGGAGGAGGGAAGGAGGGAGGTGGATGGAGGAGGCAGGAGGGAGAGGGGAGGAGGAGTGGCGCCAGCAGCCCAGCAGTCCCGACTCACCGGCACGTGGCGCACACGAAGCAGTCGGGGTGGTAGGTCTTGCCCAGGGCTGACACCACCTCGCCCTCGATGAACTGGTCGCAGCTGAAGCAGCGGGTCCCGTATAGACGCTGGTAGTCCCGCGTGCAGATGTATTCTCCCTGCCGCACGAAGAAGCCACCCTCGGCCAGGTCACAGCCGCATGCTGGGGGTAGACACAGCGTTGGCGAGCTGCTGACTGTCCACCAGGTCCCGCCACACACAGCTCCCCCTTGATACAGGCCCCAGGGCAAATCTGGGGTGACTCATCGAACCCCTGGGGGGCCGGGTTCCAGGAACAGACCATGGCTCTGGCCTCCCAGCCTGGTGCTGAGTGGACTTTCTTGGGGAAGCTTCCAGGAAAGTAGCACCGATCTGGGACAAGAAGGAGGCTATGCAAAGGGGCCAGTGCCTGCGAGCCCAGCAGGGGTGGTGTGTGGATGCCCGTGAGCCCCTCTATGACTTCAGTGGGGCTGTTCCCAGCAGGAAATACAACGAAGCAGGAAGGTGCTCTGTTCTGGATGGGGAGATCCCAATCCCGTGTGGTGGAGGACAAGTGCATCCCAGGGTTGCCCCCAGGTGGCAGAGAAATCCTGTTAACCCCTCCCCGACTCTGGCCTATTTCCGTGTCCCAATGTCTGTCTCCCACAGTGCAGACAAGGCCATACCTCCCACAGGAGGGAGGGAGACAGTGAACACTGGAGCACGAATCCTTTCTGGGCACTTCTCCAGGTGGGGAATGGGGCGACTTTCTCTGGACAGCCTGCCAGTCTGAGTGTGGGACACCCATGCATCCACCCCCCACACACACACCCTCCAGCCCAGGGGCACGTGGGAGACACACATGGTTTCAGAGGGAGCCGCCTCTACCCACCCTGCACCCCGGCCCTGCCAGCCGGGTCAGTCCGGGGTCCTTGTGGGTCCTAGCTGCCAGGCAGCATCCTAAAAACCACGTCTTTCCTTCCTTCCTGTCTCCCTTCCTTCTTCCTTCACCATGTTTTTGAATCAACACTGAAATGCTTCATTGACACATCAGCTGATTGCAAAGGATGCTATTTCTGGTGAATTCTAAGGATCGGCATCTTGACATTTAACTCCTGTCATCCTTTTGGGCACACTGAGTGAAGGGTAGATGCCAAAGAAAGACCACCAACACCTCCTTGCAAAACCCGCAGCCGACTCTCGGTAAAAGCAGAAACTTCACCTTGTCACATTTCTACCCGGAGACCCACGTCCGCTCAACTTCCCTAAAGCACGGTGCATGGACATAAGGCCCCCGACGCTCATAGCAGCAGTGGCCACAGTCGCCAAACCCAGATGGCCATCGACAGAGGAACAGAGGAAGAAGATGTGGTGTATATATAAAATGGAATATTACGCAGCCATCGAGAGGATGAAATCTTGCCATTTGCAACGACATGGATGCAAGTAGAGGGTATTAAGCGAAATGAAATAAGTCAATCGGAGAAAAGACAATTGTCATAGGACCTCACTCATAGGTGGAACTTAAGAAACAAAACAGGATCGTAGGGGAAGAGAGGGATAAATAGAACAAGACAAAATCAGAGAGGAAGACAAACCCTAGGAGACTCTTAATCATTAGGAAACAAACTGAGGGCTGCTGGAGGGGAAGGGGGGGGGGTGGGCAGTAAGGAGGTCACTTGGCGTAATGAGCACTGGGTGTGATATTAGACTGATGAATCGCTGACTCCTTCTCCTGAAAATAATAATAATAAAAAAAAACTAATAAGAAGAGTGGAAGTGCCACATTGTGCTCTCTACAACAAAATATTCCAGAGTCAACGTGGACACTGGTTTATTAGGAATTTCTTGTGGTCACAAGGCTCTAAACATTTAATAAGTTATCTGGATTGGGTTATTTTTTTCTCCAAAGATTAGCAGAAAGCTATCAAAATAACACAGACATTATACATGTTGGCAGATCAGTTGAGACACAAAGGAAAGCCTTCATGCATCAGCACAAAGGGCGGGAGGGACGGAGGGGAGCTCCCAGTGTCCGGTCAAGGGAGCCCGGACCAGGCAACCGTTCCCTGGCTTAGGGCCGGGAGGCCGGGAGGTGAGGGCAGCCCGGCAGCCTCAGCCCTGAGCCTTCTCAGGCAGGGCAGGTTTCAGAAGCGCAGCTGTGGAAGGTTGGCGTCTGGAGACGGAAGCTCCAGGGAGTCGGGGTCCCCCAGGGCGCGGTCTGCTCGGCCTGATCAGCAGGGGACCCCCTCAGCTCATGCCTCACTACTCCCTGCCCGCCACCTGTCCTTTCACCTGCCACCTGGGGGCCCAGGCGTCCCTGCAGAGACAGGTGCACCCTCAGCTTGGCGCATCCCCCACACTAGGGGAGGCAGTGGGCCTCTCCGGGGTCCCCTTGTCCCCTTGCCAGGGCCACGGGGTGGCACATGCTTCTCCCTGTTCCGGACACCGGAGCGGTGCTCGGAGGAGATGTTAGCTCTGCAGACAACCGAGAGCCCAGAGGCTGGAGCGGCCTGGCTCTGGATCCCGGAGTCACCTGTGAACTTGGCTGTGCGCCCCGGGCAAGCTCCTGAGCCTCTCTGGGCTTCTGCAGCTTCCTTTGGAACCCAGCCCACTTCCAAAGTAAAAATAGCTGCACAGAAAAGCATCCTCTGAACCCCAAGTTACACAGTGCCCCATCAAGGCTGTGGATGCACCCACGTCGCTCATCCCTGGAGGCCGAGGCCGTGGCCAGACCCGAACTCCCCACACCCAGCAGGAGAGTGTAAACCTTTGGTGTCGTCTTGTATCACGGTGCACGCCCAGCAGGGGTACCCCGACTCGGGAAGAACAGCCCACCGGGGCCCTGCTAGGCATCTTTTTCTGTGAAAAGATAGCCATGGAGCACCAGGAGGGCCCAAGGGTACCCAGACTTTGGCGTCTGGCTGTCTTCCTGATCTTTGCAAGCATATGCTGGCGTACCCAGGATGAAAATGTGCCCAGGCACGTAGTGCCCTGCTGAGACCCCGTGAGTCAGCATTGCAGACCCTGGGAGAGTCAATGCAGCCGCTTTCCTGGCTCGCCTGTCCCTGCTGGTCAGCCCCGCTCCTGGCCGGCCTGCAGCTGCCCCAAGCTCGTCAGGTCATAATCAAAACCCCAACCTCTGCCCGCTCAAAATCGAAACTCCAGATTCATTAGGAATCTAAAAAATTCTCATCAGGGCAGTCATGACATTCTATCTTCCCTGTTGAATTAGCCAACACTGATACAGGGGCGCAGAGCAGCTGTGGGTGACCCCGAGTGTCGGTCCCCCCCACTTCCCTGTGGTCATTTACGAGAAATGCTCAGGAGCGCAGGCAGCGGTGGGGAGACACTTTCTGGAACACTGTTTGGCACTGACTCTAAAGAACACGGAAACCACTCCTACCCTCTGACCATCAACCTCCTTTTGGGGAATTTAGCCCCAGGAAATGGCCAGGAACCCCCAAAGAGTTGTCGTTGCTGCATTACATACCCTGGTACACCCACACTGGGTGTGAGCAACTTGACGTTGAAGCCCTTACAGGATGGCATCGTGGGCACAGAAATAGGGCTATGACATGACGTACAGGTAAAGAGACTCACAGAGGAGAGGACGGGGGAGGCTGCACACTGAACCTGACAGGGATCCCCTTGGGTGGCCCTGGAGGGATGTGACCCACTATCCCCTACACCTCTCTGTGCTGCGGGATAGAAGAGGGAACAGCTGGAGGTGACCCCACGGCCTGATCAGAATGAGCCAACCCCGGGGCTCATGGCCACGGCCAGCCAGGGCTTGCCCGATCCCTGCCCCCCGGGACCCTCCATCTGTACCAACAGTCCCCTGTCGCCAGTCTCATCCTGCTGAGTGGTCCATGGATCCTTGAGCACCTGCGCGGGTCTGACTGTGTGGAAGGAACGTGCCCTGGGCAGGCGGACGGTGCCCATGTACCTGAAGCTTTCCTTCGGTTCTGGAAGCCCTTGGCTGGTTTCTCATAAATATTCCGGGAAGGCCCCGAAAGGAGAAAATGCAGGCACTTTTGCACCATGTTTGGCACATTTCTATTCTGTTTTGCAGCATGAGAATAGAGCTGATTGGATTTCCACTCCCAGCCAGAATCACACGTCCTCGCAGGGTGGACACGATGGGCTCTGGCCCCCAGGCCCTTCCCTGCACGCCCACTGCATGTCCACACGGCACCCCCAAAGCAATCTCTGGAAACAAAGGTGGACCAGAGCCCTCCTCTGTCCGTCGTCCCCGGGTGTCAGAGCCAGGGGTCTCACAAGAACCCCCCTCCCCATTGCTCATTCTGCTCCGGCCTGTCCCCGAGTCCCCCAGGATGCTCCCTCTGTCTGCAAGGCTCTTCCCAAATATCCCTCAAGTCTTCACTCAGTTCACCTCCTCCGTGAGGCCCACCCTGATTACCCAGTTGAAAATAGCGGCCTCCCACAGCCACCCCCACACCCAGGAGATGGCTCTCATTCCCATGCCTGCCTTTCCTGAGCCCCTCTTCCATGTTCCCTGTGGGCACCTAAACAAAGTGTATCTATCCTATCCAGTGTTTTATGGTCTGTCACCCGCACTAGGGCACGATCTCCACAAGGACAAACAGAGCCGTTTTGCTCATGAATGCCTCTCACGCACCCAGAACATGGCGTGCATGCAGTAGGTGCCCAAGAGATCATTGTTGCATGAACCCCAAGGTTAGGAAACGTGTCTGAGACCCACATGAGCAGCGGTGACAGGGGTGAGATTTGTACCCAGACCTCCAGGCATCAAAGCCCAAGGCTGGAGCATCCATGAAGGAGAGTATAATTATACAACCATTTCATGGATTTTCCCAGGTAACCTGGGCCCACCCATTAAGTGTCAAGGTGGCAAGAACCCCATTACACTGGGGCCTCTGGTGAGAAGCTGTGCTAAACATGTTTACCTGGCAACATGCCCACCTGGGGACAGACGGGACTGGTCTCAGGGAGTCACTGCCCTCCTTTTTGGTCCTCTGTGCTGATGTGGGTTGGCCCGGGACCCAGTTCTAACCAGTGAATCCTATTTGAAGACTTTGGGGGACCTTGGGGAAAAGGTTCTCCCTGGTCAAAGGGAGAATCATGTGAGGAGAGAGCCCTTTGCCTCCCCCCCTCTCCAACCTCTTCTCCTGTTGGATGCTACCCTGGGAGGATGTGATGCTTGGAGCTACAGCAGCCACTCTGAGACCATGAGGAGAGGCACTGCTGCCATGCACAGGATGGGGGAGAGGGAGGGGATGGTGAGGGTGGGGAAGCAGAAAAAGAACCTGGTCTTTAAGGACCTTGTTGAGCTATTACATTCACCAACTCTCAGGGGTTAAAGGGGCCACTTCCAGACTTCAGGTTAAGACAATCAATATCCATGTTGCTTAAGGCACTTTGAGTTGGGTATTCATTTTGATTCCTCCAAAAGTAGCCTCAGTGATTCCTAGGCTTTGCGTTTTCATGAAAACCTTGATAAAAGACCAGTCTGAGACTGTGGGATTGTCATGCTTCAACAAACACGGCTTTTCCCAGCTAGCAGGTAATCTAGAAACGTCATTTCTCAGCCAGTGAATCGGGGACAGCTCTAATCCCCATGGCCATGGGCACAGCTGGCAGGCATGGGGTGAGGCTGTACAACTGGCCTTGGAATGGGGCCCGCATGCCCACAGGTCCTGCCACCAAAGCCACTACCGCAGGAACCACGGGGTGGGGCAACCGTTGTCCCGGGGCCAGTCCCAGGAGCGGCAGGTCCCGCCCACCACCTACCACGAGGGAGGGAGCACAGCTATTCCCGCAGCTGCTCAGGAGCTAAAGGTTGGAGGACAAAGTGATCTGGCCCAGATGACGCTGCGGGAGGTGGGGAGGGCTCCTGGGGCAGTCCCCACCTCCCCTCAAACCTTGTGGGTCAAACCAGGACTCGATTCTGGAGTCTCATGCCTTCTCTTGCATTCCTAAGGTCTGTGCTTACAGACAATCCTTTTAAACACGGTGGCTGCTTCCCCTGTGCCTTTTGAAATAACCTTTTAAAAAGAGCATTTTAATGGATTTTGCTTTCCAGACACAGCAAATTTGTCTTTTGGAGAGTACAGAAAATTAAACCAGACAAATCCCATAATAGTCTGGGAAGCTCTGATGAAAAGGGAGAGATGCTTCAGGAGGGGAGAGGGCACTGACCATGGCAGAGGGTGGAGCACTGAACATGAACATGGGGGGGTGTCAATGACCAGGGGGGGAGGGAGGGCACTGGCCATGGTGGGGGGATGGGGCACTGACCACAGTGGGGGTGGGACACTGACCACAACGGGGGTAGGGCACTGGTGATGGGGGGGTGGGGCACTGATCAGGGTAGTGGGGCACAGAGCACAGTGTGGGGGGCAGCCTCAAGGGCAAAGGCATTGTTCACAGGACACTAAGTGATTGCTAGTCTCACACCCTCACCTGGGGCTGCTCCATCCTTTCCCAGAAAACAGACACCTCCAGGTGTGCCCCTCTGAAGGGCAGGGGCAGGGTCGCCCTCAGACTGAGGGTCTCAGGGCACCCCCATCCTCCGCCAGAGATAGTGCCACCCCAGAGGTCCCTGGCTGGGGGGCACCGGGGACATTCAGTTCTCCCCTGAGTCAGTGGCCCCCACAGACCCCCATGTCTCCCCTGGCACTCTGCCCCTCTCCAATGGCAGGGGTCTTCAGGGCCATTTCTGGGGTGTCCCCCCCTCACAGCAGAAGAGCCCGGCCAGTGGTTCTCAAGTGTTCTTTCCAAACAATAGGACTCAATACACAGTCTTTGCAGAGGGCCTGAAGCCATGGTATGGCGATGGGGCAGAGCTCCTCTGGGGCGGGGGGGCTCACCTGCGGCCTCGCACCCCCACACCCAGGAGATGGCTCCACAGAAGTCTCCAAGGGAGTCAGCTGGGGCCACACCCAGGCCTGGCATCCAGCCGGGGACAGCCTCCCCCATCTCCAGGCCCCAGCTGCCCCCTCAGCTAGCTGTTGCACATCGCTCCTAGGGCCGCTGGCACAGGGAGGAGGAGGCTGGGCCCCTAGTGTCGCCCCTCCCCCCAACAGCACTCTGTGGTCACACCCATCTGCCCCTGCCACCTGGACTGGCCTGGAACCCTCCGATCACCGAAGTCCTCCTTATCCAAGTTAGATCCCAAACACCACCTCCTCTGCGAAGCTCTCTCTGGAAGCTTCCAGATCTTTCCCTGCCCCCGCCCCCAGCAAGGAAAAAGAGCAGAGGCCCAAGAAGCTCACCTTTGCACACAAAGCACTCGATGTGGAAATACTTGTTCTGCACCCGCAGCACCTCCCCCTTGCACACATTCCCGCAGGTGTTACACAGGATCGAGGTGCTTGGCGGCTTCTCCAGGGGGCTGTGAGCGGCCTGCGGCTCCGACACTGCACGGAAGGAACAAGGAACCACGTTAACAGTGGGGCACACGCCAGGCACAGGGGAGCAAAGCAGCAGGAGCGTGAGGCCGTGGAGGGGGGCACCCCCCAGTTCAAGCCCCATAGGGGGTCGGGAACAGATGCGTCTTCTTTCCCAGGGGACCAAAGGGAACTGGATAATGTGAGAGGCTGTCTGGTCAACCCCCAGTGGGGGGGGGGGTGCTCCCCTGTATGGCAGCCCCCCTGATGGGCCATCTGCCCCTGTCTAGGTTGGCACACATGCAGTGGCGGGGAGGTCACACCCCCTCCCAATGGGCAGCCTAGTCTCTTGCCGCCTTGACCTGGTAGGACTCCGGCTGGCAGGGCCTCAGAAGCAAAGCCCCCACCGTGAGCTTGGCAGCCCTCCTGCAGCCAAGAGACCCGGCGCCCTCTCTTCTGCGAGTAAATAACCACAGTCCTCCTTTGAGCTTGCTTCAGATTCCCTCTGCGTCCTGGGGCCATTGACTGCAATTTTGCTGCTGTCCTCCTCAAAGCCAGCCATGGCCTGGGATGCTTATGGAAGCACTGGAGACCCACTGAGGGCCAGATCAGGGTGGACGGTTAAAGGGCCCGGCTGTAGGGCTCTTGGGGTCTGGAGGGGTGTCCACATGCTCCTCAGCCACATCCTCCAAAAGTACCCTGTGACCCACGGCGGGTCTGCCCCCTTGAGAAGCTCCAGCCGGGCAGTGGAGATGCACCACATGGCAGAGCTGGGGCGAGGGGAGGCCCAGGGGCTGGGGGCCAGCAGAGTTGTTTGAAGTACAAGGAGAAGCTGGCTGGATGCTGGACTTGGAGGTCAGCACGGAGGTTTGCCGGGTAAAGAGCATGGCCCATGCAGGAACCTAAGCAGGCTGGATCCTTGGACCAACCCAAGAAAGTCAAATCTGGTGCTCCCCTCACCAGCCACATGGGATGACCCTTCCAGCCTATCCAGGTCCCCAGCCCCCATCAGGCTCCCCTGAGAGCCCTCTTTCCTCCTCTGGGAACTCACCCCCCACCCCACTGCCTGTCTCTGGGTCTCCGCCAAGTGCGGGTGGCCAACCCCCAGCTCCAGCCAGCACTGAGTAGACCGCTTGGCTTTTCTCGTGGGTGGGTGTCTTTACTCATTTCCCCATCTTCTAATACCACCCACATTTTATTCTGGGGGCCCTGCATGAGGCCGAGCCAAGGACAGGCTGCAGGTGTGTATCAGGGTTGGCAGGTGGCAGGAAGGAGTGAGGGCACCCGAGGCAGGAGGTCTGCAGGTGCAGGTGAGCTGTGCACCTGGCTGCGTGGAAACCCCAGGTGGGCTGGCCAAGGAAGCACCTGCCATGCTTCGTTGGAAGGTTATTTGCACATGCGTACCCATTTACACAACAGTCTAATGCTAGCTTTGCGCAAGCAGCAGACCTCAAGTTCTCCTCATCCCTGTCCGAGGAGGACACTTGTCTACCTGATTTCCCACCTGTCCCCCACGCCCAGCACCCCACATCCCAGCAGCCCCCAATCTGCCAGAGCTGGCTCCTCTCGGCTGTGGTCCCTGCCCGGGGTGCAGAGTTTGAGAGCAGGCGGCACAAAAGGGAGGGGCTGGGTCACGCTGGGGACAGCGAGCTGTCCAAGGAGGAGGCTGTGAACACCCCAAGGGCAGCAGAGTGCCTGCTGTCTGGGGACAAGAAGGTGCAAGAAAAGAGGTGAGCAGCATGAAAAGTAATTCGGCATCTCCCTGGGCTCTCCAGACCCAGAGTCAATGCCTGTCTCTGGTTTCCAGAAGAGTCACACTGGAGGGTGCAAAGCTGGGGAGGGGGGGGCCTTCGTCTGCCCTCCTATGGCCCCAGTGACATTCTCCACTCTAGCTTAAATGCCAACCATAGGCTTGCCCATTGCTTCTTTTTTCTGTAGAAAAGGTGCAGAAATGGCCTTATCTATTACTTAACAAAATTGGTGGAAGGTGGCATTTCCTTGGGCTTGAATTTACGACTCCCCGGGGGAATGAGCCACTGGAATCCAGGTTTAAAACCTGTGAACTGCCTGAGGCCTGCCAGGCTCCAAGTCACCCCATCCACCTCCTAGGCTCCGTGGAGATTGTGGGGGGTGGGTCGTGGGGGTGGGACACGGATCCTCCACACTGTTATCTTCTCATCTGTCCGGCAGACAGAGAACAATAGCCTATCATCTGTCCACGAGCAGACAAACAAGTTTTTATACTACTAGAATCTGGCTCAAGTCCAATACGAGCCGAAGGTCACCCAGCCACCCTGGGGGTCACTCTGAACCCTGGGGGAGCACTGGCTGCAGGGGCAGATGGCCCAGGTGCAGCCCAGCTTCCCCTGCTGCGTGCTGTCACCTGGAATGTCCAGCCTTCCATGTGTCTGTCCATCCATGCGTCTGCCCTCCGCTCACATCACCTGCCCTGAGGAGGGGGGAGTGTTTGCCAGGAAGATGGGCTCAATACACAATAGCTATTGTCATTCACAAAGACACACAGCCTGACACCACCAGTTTCCTGGTTACTCGAGGTCGATCTGGTCTAGGTTGGGGGAGCTGCTTTAAGATAGGCTTTGCTGGGGGGATCCAACTCTTGCCCACCTGGGGCATCCTAAAAGCCTCCCAGGGTGTCTGGGAGTGAGAGCTGTGGTGCTGCCCTCTGGTGGCGGGAGGCAGACACTGCTCTGTGGGGATGGGAGGCAGGTACCACTCTGCTCCAAGGAGTCCCATCCGGGCATCCCGTACATTTGTGGCGGGAGCATCTAACCTCCCAAGGTGACTCATTCCTCGAACCTCTGCAGAGGCCCAGTTGAAAGAAATTCCCATATGTGGACTCGGATGGGGTGTGTTTCTGCGGGGAGCTGTTGTCCCTGCTGCAGAGGGAGCTGAGGCCCAGAGAGGAGGCCCAGGACCTGCAGGGGGCAACACCCAGGGTTCTCTCCAGGGGGCCCCAAGACAGGGATGGGCTGTTCTGGCCAGCCCTGGTGTCTGGTGTGTGGGTCTTACATAAAAAAAGGAGCATAATCAAGAAACCAGATATCAAGCCACAAAATGACACGGGGGACAGCCAGATGCATATTACTGAGGGAAACAAGCCAGTCTGCAGAGGCCGTGGGCTGTGTGAGTCCATTTACAGGACATTCTGGAAAAGGCAGAACCACGGAAATGGGAAAAAACAATCAGTGGTTGCCAGGGCTTGGGGGGAGGGAGGGGCGAGCAGACGGGGTGTGGGGGTGTTTAGGGTAGAGAAGCCACTGGGGTGGGACACGGTGATGTCATCCCACCCTTGTGGGAACCCACAGCAGGTTCAACCGTCACTGTGGACCGAAAAACACTCTAAGGACTAAAGTCTGGGAAAAATGTTAAAAGAACATTTTAGAATGAGAAGCGGAGGGAGAGCTACCACACACCACCAAAGGCACAGGCTCATTTGGCTAGGGTTGCAAGATGGGCTCCAACCTCTAGCTTCATGGGTCCCCTGCTGGGATAATAACCCAGCACGTAAACTCAGGTGGTAAGAACTGATCGCACGAGGCTGAGACTATTTGATCGCCACGTGATAAGGAAATCCTGGTCCTGGGGAGCCTTGCAGGGAACGGGAATTATTCCCGGGATCATCAACCTGACCAAGGGCTGGTCCCACGGTCCCCATGACGCCCTAGTGGCCCTCCAGGCTGTGACCCTGCTCTCTCCCCAGGAGACAGGAGCCGCGTGCTGCTGGGCCTGGGATGGGAGCCAGCAGGGCCGGGTGTGGGCTTGCGTCCACATCCGGGGGCAGCTGTGTGACCTTGGAGAGCTGACCAAACCCCAAGAAGCCTCAGGTTTCACATCGATGAGCTGGTGCCTGGTCTCATGAGGCATTTTGTGAGACTCCATTAAAGGAGAAAAAGCACCAGAAAAAGCACCCGGTGCAATGCCTGACAAGTGTCATCAACCACCGCTGCTGGCCTGTTTGTCCCCAGGCCCTCCAATCTCAGGGGCCCCCGTACCCCTGGGGATGGGGAGGGGAGGAGGCTATCAGGAAGGAAACCAGGAGTCCACCAGGGGCAGGGGGCGTGCCTTTGCTTACATGCCCACCTGTTAGGAGATCGTCCTAGATTTGCCTCCATGCTTTGGCTACCTCGTGATGTGGCGGGGTAGGCAACGGGGAGGGGGACAGCTGTCCTGATCCCAGCAATGCCCTTCCCTAACCTTGGGCAGATCACTTGCCCTCTGGAGCCTTTTTCCTCCTCCAGGAAACGGGGACAAGTATTCCCAAATGTGGGACCCTCACACGGATCAGACCAGACGACACGTGCGGAGCCCGTGACCCAGCTGAGCACCTGTCGTGTGTGGGGATGCAGGAGGCAGTGACAGTGATGGGGCCACAGATAGTGCCATTCGTGACCTACAGCAGGTGGGGCTCCTAACTTCGGTGTCTGCACCCAGCGCTTCACCCAGCGGTGCCCAGCACTGACACCATGAGCGGGCCCAACCCAGAGCAGAGCCAGGCCTCGCCGGCCCTTGGCTTGGGGAGCAGGGTTGGTGGCGGATCCCCACCAGCACGCCGGCTAACGTCGGCACCAGGCTCCGCTCCCTCGCCCATGTGGCTGGCAGGCGGGGCTCCTGGACACTGGGCAATGGGCTTTTTACCCTGATGAGCTGGGAACACACCTCTGGCCTCTTCACCCACCAAACCCTCCCATTCTCCTCTTCCCTCTGTCAGCTCAGCCCTGAGTGGGGCCACTTCCCACTTTGTTCTTAGAAATTCACCAACCTGACGTCGCTCTAGAAGCCACAGCCGGATGCCGCATGTCTGTTCCTGTCATCAAAACTGGAGACCCACGCCATGATGATGCCCTTGGAATGCATGCCCGGAGTGGTCTCCCTTCTCCCATGAGATCCTCCCCCGGGCAGATGCCGCTATGGCCCTGGCCTCCTCCGGCCTTGGAGCATCTGGCCTGAGCCTTCCCGGTGCCCTGAGCCCCTGGAGACCATCACGAGTCAAAGCACTTCATTGTGAAGTC